TATAAAGTATTTTTGAGTTTGAATTTGAAAACCAGCTGATCAAATGTGCTGGAGTTCCGCTGGGGTTGCTAGGTAACGTTCAAGTTCCACTGGGGTTGCTAGGTAACGTTCGAGTTCTGCTGGGGTTGCTAGGTAACGGGCAGTGTCTGCTGATTTGTGATGTTACATTTTGAACGTTTTTGAAACGGCTCATTTTCCAGACACCAAAAAAACAATAACTTATTCCCATAAACGGGCTGGATGTTTTTTGTTTTGTTTTTAAGATTTTAGAACCAGGTGAGACCAAAATGTAGGTACAAAAACATGTCAATCGTCGCTCAGGTTTATACATCTGGTGCAGTTGGCATTGCTTTATTGCTCCATTATGTTGTGAGATGCTTGTCATCTCCCAAAGGCGGCCGTATGAGAAAAAGAAGAGAAGCTAGAATTAGAGAGTGGCTACACAGAGGAGGACAGAAATAGCTGAGGGTGTGTAGGCCCGACTCCGACCACTGGCATGCACGAGGAAGCAGCCTCCATTCCACAGGCTAGCAGATGGTTTAGAGTCGCTACATCCCACATGCGAGCGCCGGCCGGTCTTCCCCACCCTCGGCTATTCTGGGCCTCTCTGCCACTGTGGTGGCTTTCACTCAGCAACCGCACAAATAAAGCCTGAGCAGGAAAAGCTTGAGAAACAGGAAGGTCTGGAGGAGATGTTTGTTCTGCACGGCTTCGTCTTTGTTGTTGTTGTTTTTACTTTAATTATGACGTGTGAAAGCCACTTCAGGGGAGTAAAGCTTCGCTGCACTGCAAAAATACAAAATCTTATCAAGTTTATTTGGTCCAGTGCAAATATGTCAGAACACTTGAAATAAGAGAAAAGTAACTTTTCAGCTTGTTTTAGTCAACAATTCCTAAATATTGATGAAAAAACTACTGTTTCCACTAGCAGATTATTTCTATTCATAATAAAACATTTTGCCACATTAGAACTGAAATAATCTGCAAACGAAACGTTTTAAATCAATATGAAGGATTATTGACTTAAAACAAGCGCATATATTTTGCTGTTATGTGAGTTAATTTCATCTTATTCCAAGTGAACTAAGATGTTTGCTCTAGAAACTGGACCAAAAAATCCTTGGTAAGATTTTATGTTTTTTGCAATGTGAAGCAGAAACTTACGTTTATTTAATGAGTTTCTGTATTTGAGGAAGCTTCAGTTAAACTGTTTGCTATTAGTGAAGTTTTTCCTAATTTATTCAGTTTCATTTTAATGAGGCTAAATACCCAGTGAAAAACTGTAATCTGCCTTAATCCCAAAGATATTATTGGTGAATTAGTGAGAGAAAAGATCTAATCTGTCCAGTATTGATGCCATCTATTGATAAATAGCCTAATTCTTTATAAGTTTAGTAAGAATTTTGTTTAGTGTAAAATAGGTTTAAAATGTAGAAGTTGGACTAAATGGGGAAGATAAATATTTATAGCGTATGTAAATATCTGTTTCAACTTTATTTTCTACACTGGCCCAAACTTTAGTATCTCCAGCATTTAAATGTAGAAGAATCCAAAGTTTCATCAGAGTTTAAAATGTATAAATGGGGAGAAAGTCTTGATCAGAACCAAACGACCTGCAGCCTGTTTCTCTGCACCTGCATTCACTGTTTCATTTAAACATCTCACCTGAGAAACTTTGCATTTCCATTTGAATCCCAAATCTGGGTCGAGACGCAGCCGCGCCCAAATCCAGCAGCTTTCATGTTTCCTCATAACGATTCAAATGATAAACGTTTAAAATCCAGTGGATGCAGTGAATTCTTGATCTCCTGTTTATTATTACTTTAACATGAAAGTAAAAAGTAATTTGTTTTAAACAACAAAGTTGTTGTTTGAAACAATCTTCCTTCAACTTGAAGAAGCTTGTAATTTTTCTGTGAAAATCTTTTGCATCAGTCTTGATTTGTGGTCGGAAGCCTCAGAATAATTTCGGGAACAAAATGGCCGCCAGGGTGAACTTTGAACTGAGTCTTTCTGTTGGCTTTGGACCAATGGGAGAGCACATTTAATCACTGCCTATTGAGGAAAAAAAATTTTTTACTTCATTTGAAAACAAAAAAACTCAAAAACTTTTTTTAAGATTTCTTATTTTTTGTGGCTTTAAACGAGTTTTCTGGAGCAAAAAGTATAAATTTTTATTTATTTTTTTAAAGATCTTGTAAATTTTGAGATTTTGCTGGTTTTGTTTAGCTGGATTAAAACCTTAAAATAGTTGGTAATATTAAAAAATTACCCTTTTTATGAAGGATTTTGTAACCTTTGTGATTATAAATTGGTTTTATTTGCTGGATTAAATGTGAAAATGTTCAAATAGGTTCAGTTTGAGTTTCTCCTTTAAGGCTAACTAAAGTTTCACAACAAACAAGTTACACAGAACAGCTTTAGATGAAGACATTAAAATCATTCAGTTGTGTTTTTTCAGACATGACTCACGCTCGCGCTCACAGGTGCATGCTGGGTAATGTTGTCTGCATAACTGTGTTTATCTTAATCTTTTAATTCCTCCACAGATGTTGCGTCTCGATCAGTCCAGACTGCTGATGAAACTCATCATTTCCACCAAAGTAAAGACAACATGTCTGCCTGTAAAGCGTCATAATCCCAACACTCACTCTGACGGCGCCACCTGCTGGACAACAGCTGCACGACAACAGAAAGGAATCCGTCTTTTTTATGGCTGTATGTGGAAATCCTTGTAGAATTTAAATGTAAATTGTTTTGACAAAAGGTTTTGTTGAAAGCTTTAAGGATCTCTGAGAGTGGATGAGTGCAGGAGGTTTTTGTGTTTACTACTGAGCTCTGGGTGAAGGACAGAAGGGCAGATCAAGGCCGGGGATGTGTTGATATTACATCGGAAAGGATTTTTCCAACAACTAAAGTATCATTTTAGCTGAAAAAAATCACATCTGGATGTAGCTCAAGGTTCAGTAAATATACACTTTTCTGACTTTGTGATGTTTTAAAGACAGAAGAGGAATAGATTAAACCCAGAGCAGTTCTCTGATGCAATCTCACTTTTTCTGGACTTCTATAAATTTATAGAAGTAAGAGCAACACCAATTCCACTCCTGTTTACTCAAGTAAAAGTAAAAAGTAACTGTCTACTAAACTGATCAAAACATTATCACGGTCATCAGATGGACCAAAATATAAAGCTATGTGGAATTTTATAGACAAAAAAGTCTGAATTTTTGGGAAAATCCATGCTGCTGCTTGTGTTCAGCAGCATCAAACCAGTAAGACAGAGCACATCTTACTGGTTTGATGTGTTTAAAACCACTGAGAGAATAGACTTCAACTGCTGTTAGTTTATAAATCACTGAACGGCTTAAAGATCTGCTGTTGTATGAACCGTCCAGACCTCTTGGGTTTTCTGGTTCTGGTTCTGCTCTACATCCCCAGAACCAGAACTAAACATGTGGTGTATAGCAGCATTCAGCTTTTATGCACCACAAATCAGAAAACTGTAAAACAGCCAAACACCAAATTCCTTTACTCTAAAATCCCTTCAGAGTTGCTTGAAATAAACATTAATCAATAATCTGATGGGCAAAATGTAACGTTGAATTTTTGCATTTTTCTGACACTTTGACAAGCCTTGTTGCAAATAAACTTGATTGATTGATTGATATTCTGCTTGTATGTGATGCAGATCTTAGTTTCTTCCTGCTCATCTGTGACTGAAATTGATGCTCTGTTTCATAAGGATGTGACGACTGCAACTGCTGTTGCCGCTTTTGTTGCTCCTGCTGTTGCTGCTGCTGCTTTTGCTTTTGCTGTGCTGCAATTGTTGCTGCAGCCAGCCGTTGCTGCTGCAGCCATCCGTTGCAGCTGCAGCCAGCCGTTGCTGCTGCAGCCATCCGTTGCTGCTGCAGCCATCCGTTGCTGCTGCAGCCATCCGTTGCTGCTGCAGCCATCCGTTGCTGCTGCAGCCAGCCGTTGCTGCTGCTGCAGCTGCTCCCTCTGTGTGGCGTCCAGCCGGGAGAAGCCTGTCGACCGTATCAGTTCATCTTTGACCCAGAGGAGCGAGGCCTTGCTGCCTTATCAGCACATCTGCAGGGCCAGCGCCAGGTTTGTCTTTATTTGAGTTTTTTGTGTGCTGCCATGCCTCTGGGTTTCAGATGGGCTTTTTGTTCCTGAATGCAGGCTGTGGGCACGAAGAACAATGCCGCGTTCAGAGAGCGAGGCAGAAACCGCACGTAGCCGTCCCAGCATCATTATGTAAGGAAACTCCCGTCACCTCCCTGCCTTCATTCCTCTCTGCTGCTTCGTTTGTGTCTGTCAAAATAAATAAACACAATTAGAAATACCTGCTTGAAATATGGTAACTGTTGGGCGTTTGAATTTCTCTCACACGTACAAACAAAATAAAAATAGCAGAAGGAAAAAAGACAAAACTCTCGAAGAAACATTTTGAATTTCATGGCAATAAAGTCAAACAGAGTAAAGAGTAGTTCAACAGCTAAAACAATGATATTTATTTATTTAATTCGTTTATCTATTTAAGTATTTATTTTTCCTAATCATCCCAGGTGTTTCTGTGTTTTTACTATATTTTTTGAGATATATTTATTAATTACTATTTTATTCAGTTATTTGACTTTCCTTCCAGAGTTGCTTTTTATTTAAAAGTTTGTTTCATTTTTGGAATCTGCAGCTCAGAGGAGGAGCTTCATCGTCGGAGGCGGGGCTAAGTCCATTCAGGCGTTTTGCACAGTTGATTGGTTGCCACTGACATCAAAGGATTTCTCAAACATGCATGGAAAAAAAATCAAAGCAACACTCCAGGTTTTATTTTACTTATTTATTTATTTATTTATTTTTATTTTTTACCATTCCCCCCCTAAATCACATCAACTCTGAACTTTCCTCCACAGCAAATTGGACTTAAATCAGCCGGAGCGAGGTCGGCTCGCTGCTCTGGCTGCAGGTCCAAGGTTGCTGCGATAATGAATGTGTAGCAACAGTTCAGGCACATTAAACCAGAACTCAGTGCAGAAACGTCCGCAAAGGAAAAACTTACCGACGAGGTGAGTCACTGTTTCAGCTTCATACTGCAGAGTTAAACTGAGAACAACTAAACTGGATCATAAAAGCATATGATTTAGGTTTCACCCAAGGGAGGAAGGGAGAGGTTCAAATTTAAAGTTAAAGGTTTTTCTCTGTGCTGTTGCTGTTGGGATGACCTTTGATTGTCTGGTTTCTGATTAAACATGAATAGCTGCAATGCATGGAAAGATAATAAAAAAAAAACAAACAGGGTTAGTGGTTGATAGAAATTATGGGACAAATAATCTAACATGGAAAAAATCTTTTTAAAAAAGTAACATTTATTTTTACTTTTGACTGTTGATCTAATTAAATTATTCAGTTCATTATTTTTATTTTATTGTGCTTCATAATATTAGATTCTCTTTCAGTTTAATTTGAATTCATTCTTAGATTTTTATTTTATTTAGCAAAATGTGTAAGCAAAACGAAAGAGTTTCTGCAGTTTCTATGTGTTTCTAACACAACAGTAATAGTTTGGAGAAACCTGTTGTTGTGAAAATCCCGTTTATCATGAATTCTAATTTTTTTTAAATACATGATGGAAAAACAAAGCAACATTACCTGAAAAGACTAACATTTAAATGTATATTTTACTTCTTAATGTTTGTCAAATATGTTTATTTTGTTAATTAATTACTCTATTGTTTGTTTTTATTTCTACTTAAACTAATTTGCTCACTAAACAAATTTATTTCATTTTTGTAGTTAATTAATTCAGTTTTTGTTTTGTTTTTAAATCATTTTTTAATCAGTACCTTGTGTTGAATAACATAATTTGTTGTATTGTTTCTATTGTATCTTACATTAATTAATTTACTTTTTATATAATTTTACTAAGCAAAAATTGTATTATTGATTTTTATTATTATTATCATATTATTACTATTTTTTAAACGAAATTTTCTTTTATTTAGCGTTTACCTGGAACCTTCTATTGTGTCGCATAATTCCACACGGAACGTTTTGATCGTTGCACCCGCGAGCTGTCAAGTCAACAGAAGTCGCTCCTGTCGTACCGGCCAGGTAAGACGTGTCATAATGGAAACTTTCAGTTTTTGTTGTAAAACTCCCAGTTTCTGAGTGAATATGTTGTTGTTGGGTCTAACTGGAAGCAAACCAGTATAAACTGGTTGTGTTAAGCCAGTGAAAGCTTTGACTTTGCTAATTAACGCACCTAGCTTGTTTTGACGCTGTTAAAGACTTTGTGGAGAAAACTTGAGAAGCTTGAAGCAAAGTTCAGACGCCGCTTGAAATATTTATTTGAATGTTTCGCAGCTCTCGTGTCAGCGGAGGCTAACAGCCCCTGGGTTATGGTTAACCTGGTAATCCTGGTAATCCAATTATCTCTGCTAACTGGCCAGACACAACAACAACACTACAGACTACAGAGATTACTCAGCTAGGTGTTGCGTTGTTTTTAGACAGTAGATTAAAATTCTCAAATATGGATCAGTACTGCAGGGGGTTGATGGGAATTTCATAACAGTATCTGGTTTAAGCATACAGTAGCCAAAACAGTGACAACTCGATCATTTTAAGACATATTTTACCAACAATGTGAACAAACTGAGCAGAATAGAAATCTCCTTTATTGTCCTTTATTGTCCCACAGTTGGGAAATTCAGGTCCGAGAGCAGCAAGTCAAAAGGGAAATAAAATATGATTTGGAAAGATGTCTTTCTGTTGAAATGTTCCTGAATTTATGTCTCAGTAAAGGTTGAAAATGTCCTCAAGTGATTAACAGTAAATATGTTTCACCATACCGTAGTATTCATGTTTACGCTTTTTCTTCAAGTGTGCTACAGAAGATCTTCCTTGCCAACAACCATTTGGATTAATATGAGCTACAACATTTAGTTTTCCTTTGCTTTGAATTTATTTTGTACTGAATTTGAATAAGGATTAAGTCAATTAGTCATATGAAAAATTCAAACAGTGCAATATCTTCCCTTTGCACGTTTATTTCTCTCTTTCTTTCTACAAAAACCTGATGATGGAAATCTTCAGTCTGGTGCTTTGGTCTCATCCACGCCAATTTTGTTTACAGAGACTCCATAATTAATTTTATTGTTTCTGTTCTCTTATTTATTTTGGCTTTTTAAAATGTCTTCCAGTTCCAGTGTTAAAGTTTTATTAGAATTTAAAGTTTATTGACAAACATTAGAATGTGTTCCTGCATTATTATTATATTATCGCTATTATATTAAGTGAAAAAAGTCTCAAAACAACAACAGTATCGTCCAGTTGAATTTCTTCATCATGACAAGCCTAGTTTTAACCTGATATAAGTAGACTTTCACTGTGACACATGTTGCTGGACAATAAATCGACATTTTAAAAAGACATTTTAAATATTCAAAATAAACAAAACAGAAACAAATAAATTATAAAGTCTCTGGAAACAAAATTGAAGATGTTCATCATCCAGTTCTTGGTAAAAAGAGACAAACCAGGAACTATTGATCTATTAATTATTGTGACATTTTTTCTGATTTTAATAACAAATTGTGTGTTTCCCTGCAGGATGGCTCAGACGGACAGCAAGGTTCTGGTGCTGGGAGCGCTGGCCGGAGTGGCCGGCATCAGCCTGGCCGTGGTATGTTACCGCGGTTTAAGATCCAAGCGAAGAGTCTCCTGGCCGGGATTCCCGGGATTCTACCAGAACCGCACCAACGACCCGGGATCCGGCCTGCTGCTGGTGGACGGCCCTGTTCTTCCCAGGGGTCAGGCCGAGGTGCTGGAGCGCCTGGAGGCCCTGATCCAGTGTGTGTCTGAGCTGAAGGAAGAGATGAAGGCGCTGAAGACCGCGCTGCCCGCCCTGCCGAACCAAGTCAGGGAGGAGCTGAAGGGCCACAGCGAGGCGCGGCGATTCAGCGCCCAGCACAGGACGGCAGCGACGAGGAGGAAAAAAGCAGCAGGCGCCGCCAGCAGCCCAGACAGACGGAGCTCAGAGGACGCAGAGAGCGAGGGAGGGTGAGTCTGTCAGGGGCAAAATTATCCAAATATTAAGACATCTCTGCATGCAACCATCCAAAAAGGGCCTAAAACTGAAGACCTGCAATATATGAAAATCAGCTAAAAGTAAGTCCAAATATAGAAGAAAGAAATGAAACAATGAATGAGAATAAGTAGCAAAATAAGGAGCTTCTACACTGCAAAAACACAAAAATATTGTTGTATTTTTTGTTTAGTTGTAGTGCAAATATCTTATTGCACTTGAAATAAGAGTAAACTAACTTACAAGTAATATTTCAGAAAACTATAGCAGCTTGTTTGAAGTCAATAATATTGATTTTAAAACTTTTAATTTCCCTGACAGATTGACTTTCAACAGGTCCTGTTACCTAGCAACCCAGTTGTAGTTCCCATCAGATTGTTTCACCTGCAGCATTGGGAAGCATTTCTTGGTATAAGTGAAATAATCTGCCAGTGACATTAGAACGTCTCAGTGAAACGCTGGTAAAAACGTCCGAGGGTTAATGGAGGAGCCATGACTTCCTGAAGTCTCAGAAAGGACAGGAGATTTTAAAGGGACAGTGGCCCAATTTCAAGGTGTCACATTACAAGTGAAATTTATTTCATGTCACATTTGACAGCAACTGAAGTTAACATTGTTACTTTATTTCACTGTAAAATGGCAACATGTGCCTGGAAAACATTTACTGTTTTAATGTTGCTGAAGAAACGCAAACCATTAAAAAATTAACTAATTTTATTACACATGCTATGACATAATGACAGTAACCTGCACTTTACAATGTTTTAAATGATTTGAATACCTTGAATAAATAAAAATACACAGCAGATTTAACATTGTCCCATTTTTTAAAAGTTGGAACAAAACAAAGAAAAAAAGCAATTACAGCTGATTGTTCAGTAATTTAAAGACCCATTTTAACACCAGTGCTACTTTTCTGACTTTACCAGGTTCTAACAACTTTGTGGATAAATTTTGGCCACTTGTTCCCAACATTTTATTGAGGTTTACACACATTTATAGTTGCTTGACTTAAACAGCTGATTTCAGTGGGTTAATGTCAGCACATTTTATTTCTTGTTAGTTTTGTCAGTTCCAAGTTATTTCAGTGACCATTAGCAGGTTTCTCCATGTGTCTGAATCTGAATATAATTCCCATCTTAACTTTGTTCAATCAGATTATCAATATCTTTATTTCAGCTGACTCCAGAACTTAAAACATAAACAATGAGACTAGCTAACTCGTGTTCAATTATTGGGGAAATTATACCTTCTGTTGGTTATTCCCCCTTTTTAATTCAGTATAAAGGTGAATGGATTTTCTTCCCCACCTGTGGAACCAGTTTGGTCGTTTTATGTTTCAAATTACCCTTTGACACATTAGCCTAAGGTGCTGGATAGAAATGGCAGAATAATCAAGCAGCTTCAACCGTGAACCGGCACCTTGAACCCACGCCAGCCTCCCATGGGGTAAACAGCAGATGGGTTTCGTTTTTCTCTTTTAAAAGGTTCAACTTATGAAAACAAACACCAGCAGCAAAATGACAGAGATTAATCCAAGGTCTGGAGGCAGGATTGGAGTTTCTCTTGTGCTTGACTCGATTTATTTATCACAAACTGCACGACTGAGAAAACACATCAGAAACAGTTTTTCTCATAAACAGGGATGAAAAAACTGTTTTGCTAATTATCTTACGGACCGCTTACAGCGTGGCGTCATGCATGGAGGACAAAAAGCTGCTTTTTATATTAATCCATCCAATTTTCTTTAATCTTCATGGTTTTGTTTTTTCCAGCAGCGGAGATTCTGATTGGTTCCTTCTGTCTTTCTTGTCAGAAATTTTTCCATTTCTAGTTTAACGAGAAAACCAACTTTATAAATTTGACAGGCATATAATTATTTCCCAGTGGATCTTTTTCATTAATAATAAGCAGTCATTTACTTAAAACAAGCTCATGTTTATTGCTGAAAAGTTACTCATAAGTTAGTTTTATCTTATTTAAAATGTACTAAGATGTTTCCACGAGAAAATAGACAAAAATATCGTATAAATTTGTGGTTTTGCATTGTGGTCATCACTTTTAAAGCACATTATTAACCCCCAGGTACTAAACCTGTCAGAGTCGAATTTTTTCGTTCAAGAATAAAGTATTTTAATTTGAATTGTTTGGAAATCTTCTCCCTCATGGCAGCAGATTACCAACAGGGGGCGCCAGTGAAACAGAAACAGCAGCATGTTGTGTTGTTGCTGAGAATGATGGATGTGTGTGAAAGCATGACTTTATTACACTCTGGAAGTGATCAATTATCCAAGCCTAATGGTTTTTGCTGCCTTTTTTCTTTGTGTCTTTAGACAAGCAGTAATAATATGTTATTTCAGTTTGTCCTTCATGTTTGCAGAGGTCGTTCACCTGTGACCACTGTGACAGTTTAAGCCTAACTGCAGGGTCGCGATGCACATCCGTTCTGCAGAACTCGTAGCTGTTTATGTCACAGAGACTTGCTCTCTGTTCGAAAGGAGATCCATCAATCACGCCGCCCGTGAGCCAAGATGTCAGTGCCCTTATAGGAAGACGTCTTGTAGGAACTTGTAATTCGTTAAACAGTGAGTTTATTTGGATCACATCACCGTAGCTCAAAGACTCTCTTTTTTTATTTTTTATCACTTCCAAAAAAAATAGCATTTCTGACACTGGATAGTTGTTGATTAAAACAGATGTTAGGCAGAGTTTTGTTTGTGCGCGGTACAAGCCTGTTCAGAAATGTTAAGACGGAGAAAAAAGGCGCTCATTGTCTGCTTTGTGATTAAAAGCTTTAGCCGAGCTTCCACATGACGTCATTCAGGCTTTGCTCCACACCTGTCTGTTCGCGAGACGTTCACGTCCGTGTCGTCTGATTAATCGAAGGCGCTCAGCCAAACAAACACATTTATTCACCTTGGTTTTTCCGGGGGTAATAACACGTTTGAAGAGTCTGACCACCCACAACTGTGTTTTTAATTGATTATTCAACATTCAATTAGGGCCATACAATATGGCTTTTTATACCAGAGCCAATTTCCAAATGTAATTGATTTTTTTCTTGTAATTTTAGTTTTTTGCAAAAGTGGCTTTTATTCCAGTTATCTCTCTCATCAGTTGTAGGACAAAGTATTAGGATAAGTCTAAAAGAATTGGACTATAGTCATAAAATTACAAGAAAAAAGTTGTTTTGATGAGAAAAGAGCGTCCATAAAGTTATCAAAATATGTTCAAAGATCATTTCAAAGTCTTGCTGCAAATAATAATTTGATGATGGATGATTAAAGTGGACCTATTATGCGTCATTTTTATACTTCCATTTGAGCTTCAACTGTTTTTAAAAGCAGCGCAAGCGCTTAAAAAACACCCAGACAGTTTCTGGCAATAAATGAGCGTCTTTTGGTGTCTGAAAAATTAGCCGTTTCAAAAACCTCCTGTTTATTGAGTTACCTAGCAACCCAAGCTGAGCTCCAGCTCTGTCTTGTTGTTGACTTTCCATCCAGAAACAACTCGCTGCTGCAGTGTTGGTTGTGCAGGAGGCTCCACTAAACACTTGCTTTCTAAGAAACTTTTTATTTTTATAAAAAATGTCTTCAGTTGAGCCAAAAATAATTGGAAAATATTATTACTTTAAACGTTTTGGATCTACGGTGAGTATAATCTCTTCCCAACATCAAGAGAAAGAAATATAAGTGTTAATATCGGGCAACTTTATCAGCTTAATTTTTTTGTTCTTGGCCTGTGAATACTTGACTCTACAGTTTCGCCCACGTGACAAAAAGTTTAACAGACTGACTCTGCAGGTGGACGTCAAGAGAAACTGACACTTTCATTACATCTTTCATGGAACGTAATTGCCACAGGTATTTTTTCATGTGTAAACTGAGTTTCCACTCCGTTTTCCCCCCTCCGGCTATTTCTGGAACAAAGTTTCACCACATCCGAGCGGAGATGCTATTTATAGCCGTATAAACACTGCTTCCTTCATTACCGCCTTGTAATGTCATCTCAAACAGGTGACAGCTTTCTCATTCGCCTGATGAGGCGAACAAAAGTTTCTGTTTCATAAAACATTTCATCGGTTCGTTTGTACTCTACGGACGGATGAAAGAAGAAGTGTGAAATTTCCAGATGTAAACAATAACATGCGACGTGTCTATAAGCAGTTTCGAGTTTAAAAAAAAGAAGCTTGTGGTGTTTATTTGCAACATAGTCAAATTTATTAAGTTATCCTCACAAGTTAATAGTACTCAGTTAACTTAAGCTAAGCATTTTGAGGCAACTGCTTTGAATATATATTTTAAGTAAAGACAGCAACTTTTACAGTCGTTAAATTTTATGTCATTAAACATGAAATTATCAATTTAGTCAAGTTGTGTAAACTTAAGAAGTGCAGCTTGAACGTGCTTACAGTTTTCTAGGCACCAAGTTTCCGTAAGCGTTGTAAGTAAATTCCACTCATTACGTTTTACAGTGTAGGGGTAAAACCCAACGCTTTTTCTGGAAGGGATGGAGGCTAAATAACTGGACTCCCTCCAGTCAGTCAGGCATTGTTTAAAGGCAGCCTTTCATTGATCCTGTCAACAGAAGATGAATTAAGTTGGTCGGCGTGTTCCCAGGCCCAGAGATGTTGGGATGGTAACTCTTGTTTGTTTTGAACAGGGTAACCACAGAGACTGGCACCGCTAAGCTCTGTTCAGACATCCTTTCTTTGCCCCTTGGGGTCTTCAAACCGAGGGGATGATTCCCAGCACCGGTAGAAAATGAAAGTGCAGCTCTCTAATCCTCGACTTTTTACAAAAGGTGGAGCGCTGCAAGGCGACATTTTGAACGTCTGCTTCATCTGAATACGGAGCAACAAAACAGGATGAAGAAAAAAAGAGTTTTAGTGCAGAACTGAAACCTGAAAAGGGCTTGGCAATAAAACAGTAACAATATATGTCAGGATAGACACGTGTTCAATATCAATAGGTAATAATAAAGTCTGAACCGTAAATGATCCGCGCTATCTCAATAGGCAAACGCATGTGCTTGGAGACAAATGGAAAGAAAATAAGTGGACACTGTTGAGAGAAAGATACATGAACAAAATGGCTGCTGTTGGAATCGACCCACATGAGAGAGCAGAAAAAAATGTCAGGCGATGTGGACAAGCTGCCTCCGACCTCCTACCACGATATAATGGACTAATCAGTGAACAGAGTGCGAACAAAATGGAGGATCTTCATGACCTGAGATCCACTGGTTTACGAAAACCTACACTGCAAAAACACAAACTCTTACCAAACCATTTTGGTGTAGTTTCTAGTCTAGATATCTTAATTTTGTCTTATTTTGAGTTTAAAAGTAACTTTTAGTGACATTTAGAGGCTCGTTTTAAGTAAATAATTAATTAAATAACAGATTATTTAACTTTGCCATGTTTTAAATAAAATAATTAGTACTTTTTCATCATTATTTAGAAATTATTTACCTAAAAAAAACCTCTGTATCTTGCTTTAAAGTTATTTTAAGTTAGTTTGTCTTATTTCTGGTGTGCAAATATATTTGCTCCCGAAACTAGACCAAAATTTTGGGTTAAAATTTTGGGTTTTTTCAGTGTATGAGGTAACGTCATTTCTGAATTTTTTAAAACTGTTGTGAGCAAATTATCTGTAGATATTTGACTCCGCAGAGGAAAACCATGTTTTAGATGGTGATGATCCCTATTTTGCAATATTATGACATCTTCGCTCAGAGGCGGTCACTTCCAAGGTCTCTGCAAAGAAAATAACGGCTCCAAAACAAGCTAACGCACATTACATAAACACGGTGATACAAAAACATCCTTAGTGTCTTCTTTCTTTCAACATATGAGATTCATGAGCCGTGCAATAATGGCGTGACAGGAATGCAGTGATCGCTCAGTCCTGCGCTGCGTGTCTCTCCAGCTCCACTAAGTAAATAATTGGATGGCGGCAAAGCCGACTGCTGAATGAAGAAACGGTTCAAAACATAAATGAATCAGGGAATGAATGAGCAAACAACGCAGCTCGAAATAAGACCGGCCACATTCGTTGCAGCTCCTTGTGATTTTGTGCGACGAGACTAAAAATTAAAAAAGCGACCACAAGAATGAGGGTAAACCAAAAAGCACGCCCATTTAGATGTCTTTTAATCTGAGGTGTGTTGGCCAACGAATAATTTGAGTTTGGGTTTTAGGGTTTATTTGGGGAGTTAGTATAAAGAGGAAGGCTGTTAAAAGGATTTAGCTCTTTATCCTAAAATTATAGAATGAAAATAGACGACGATTAAAGTTGCTGATAGCGTTAAGTCTGGATGCTCGTCCACGTTTCTGCAGAAATGCTGCGTGTGATGGAGGGTCGGCCACTAATTAGCTGCTGTTTCATCAAATTAACGCGTTTCCTTTTACAAATATCTACCTTTAAATTAAATGATGCAACTTCAGCTTCCTGACACTTCCCACAGCATTTCAATCGGACTTAGGTCTAAACTTTGACTGGGCCATTTCAAGACATCGAGTATATTTTTTTTAGCCATGATGTCGCGTTTCTGTATTTGGAATCATTGTCCTGTTAATGATCCAGTTTGGGTCACATTTTCCTTTAAAATGCTGTTGAGTACGGAGAAGTTCATGGTGCTGTGGCAGCACAATGAGCCCAAATCATCACCCAGCCACCGCTGTGCTTAACAGGAGGAATGAGGTGTTATTACTGATATGTTGGATTAATTTCAACCCAACAACACCAGGCTTTCTCCTCGCAACCCTTTCAACCATATCAAAGTAAAACTTTATTGTTTAACATTCCAACTAAAACTCAGAGTCGGGGATGAAGCTCTGATCTTTATTTATTGAGACTCCTGTAAAGATTGGCTGCTGTCCTCTAGTGACTTTCACACATTATTCTTTGTTCACAAAGATATTCACACTCATATCCGTCTCACTCAACACAAACCTCAACAAGTGCGTCTACAAATCTTTCTCGTTGAGTGGGAGATCCAAGAAAGGTGAACTTTCATCTGCTGAACAGACCATTTTGAGTAAAAGGTGACTCATTCAATTTGCACCTTATTCAATGTGTCACCTATAAACCTAGCTTAACCTGTTTTTACTAGTACTGTTACTGATGTTTTGGGGGTTTTTAAACTATAAAATAAACAAAGAAGGGACTCTTAGTCTGGCGGGGGTCAACTAAAGTCTGGCGGCCTGCCAGGCTTACGATACTCTGGGGGAAACCCTGAATGTTAATTTGAGAACCTGCTGAACCAGATTATTTTATTCTGCTCTGATTTGTAATCCAATTTAAACTGGATGTACTTTCTATTTAATCATTACATTGTTTAGATGTTGAACTCTGAGGTGATTCCGGATGCATTTCCTGCTTGGCATTGTGCTAACACACCTCAGAGCTCCACAACGGCAAACTGCCAAAGCGCCTTCGTTTATGAGGCGGTCTGCTTTTCTCATCAGTTAATGAAAGGTTTTAATCAGGAACATTTGGCTGCTACTTTCCATCTGTAATCCAATAGAAGCATTTCCATTGTGTCTCTGTTGTTGTTTAACAAATGAACAAGATTTCTTGATCCCAGAACATGTCTCAATTTGTATTGAATAAAATCTCTGCAGTGCACACAGTCGGAGTGTGTGTTATTGGGTGGAGTTAGCATACGGCGTTTGGTATGAAACACCTGTCGGACCTACGTTGTTCCTGTCTGCGACCCGCTCTGACACATCCCCTCTAAACCATGCCTCACGGCCCCAAATATTCTCTAACCACCACTGACGCAAATGCAGCTGCTGCCAACACTTAATAGACGCTTTTCATGGTGTCTGCATCTTTGATTCTTACCTTTAACTTTATATTTCTACCTCTGGCTTTCAAGTGTTGGCTTTGGGTGTTGGTGCAAGCTCTCGCCTCCGATTGAAAAGGCTCCATAAAACGTGTAACGCGAGCGTTGCGTGCCATACCCTGCTGAACAAGTTCCCCCATGTTCCTGGAAACTCTTCAGGTGTCAGACGTCAGCCACTAAAAATTATAAACAATTAAGTTCCCCCACTTATGTAAACATACCAGGTGCTGTTTTTGTGTGCAAACAAGACGTGAAGATTGATCTGGTATAATCACCACCTGGTAGCATGTGGTTTATTAAAATGTTCAGTATGACAAGATTGCTCTGAATGAAGAAAAAGCTCACAAGGAGATTATTGTTTCTTCATCAAGAGCAAGAAGGTGGAAACTTTCCGCCTGTTTGTTTGCCAAATTTAGCATCCTGCCAGCAAAAGGTGTTTGTATTAAATCAGTTTCTGAAACGTGTTCACTCACAGATCACATAACGTTAAATTGTAATATAACACAACTTAAAATGTTATTGTCTTGTAGCTCTTTAATTATTGCTTTCTTTGTTTGGTAAATGTGAATGGCCACAACAAAACCATTGATTCTTAAAGTGTGGATTAAGTTTTCCAGTGACAAATTAATTTTCATGCGTTTGATAAGTTGTTCTTTACTGCCAAGTTTTGTGTGTGAAACATTTTAGGGCCATTTGTAACTTAGAAGTGCAATAAAAGAAAAAAATAAATTAAATAAAAACAGACTTGAGTTGCTTTGCCAGAAACAAAAATGTTCTACTTCTCCATTAAAGAGAAAAATTATCCACTCATTTCTTTGTTTTGTAAGTTATTTTGTAAGTTAGTTATTTTAAAATAATTTAAAATCAAGTAATGCTGGAGTTATTTTCTTTTGAGAGATCAGGTTTTGTTATTATTTTTAAACACAATCCTTTGGTAAGCTAACTGCAGTACCGTTGTGACCACTGGGGGGCGACGAGAAAGACTGTACATCCTGCTTTATTGCTTTTTAAATTCTCAATATTAAAGATTACAAGTCAGTTCTTGTTCAGAACCTTTTTATTATTATTTTTAATATTTCTTTTGTTCATTTCATTGTAAGATATGCAGAACAAGAAAATATGCGCTTTGTGTCCCATAACTGTCCCAGTTCAGTCCCATAACTGTCCCAGTTCAGTCCCATTAACTCCCAAAATAATCACATGCAGCTTCAAAGTATAAGAAAACCTTGTTTTAATAATAACAATTTCTCATCTGCATTGGCTACAAATTGCAGCTTTGAGCCAATAAAACTTATTTCATTGATTGTGATCACAGGTACATAACTGCACTGACAGACTCCGAGGATGAAGAGCAAAGCGATGAAGAGCAAACTCCAGGCAAGCTATCCATCCTCCTCGACAGAATCGACCGCTTGCGTCAGGGCGGCGAGTCGGACAAAAGAAAAAGTCTGAGCGTCCTTCTGGAGCAGAGAGACGAGGTGTGTTTACTTTCTCTGCCAGTGAGGCAGAAAACATGGCGGCGTCTCATGATGACGTTCTCTTCTGCAGTTTGGGCAGAACTCAGAGTTCCTGTGGCGGCTAACCCGAGCTTACTGCGACGTTCACGACGTCAGCGGCACTCTGGAGGAGAAGAAGACTCATGCAGAAAACGGTAACCTGCAAACATTGCTGCACAATTTTACGGAAAGACTCATTCAACATTTTTAACAGTTATTACGTCTAAAATGTTCATCAGCAGTTCAGCAGATTATCTGGAGGTTTTATAAAGATGTATTTGGACTTTAGCTCAATTTCCAAAACAGTCCTAACCAAACTGAACAGATTATTTATTTAAACAATTCTTTACACTGAACAGATTCTTTAGTCGAAATAGATTCCTGAGTCTGAACAGATGAACAAATACTCTTTACTCTGAGTAGAGTCCTCAATCTGAACTGATTCCTTTTTGAACAGATTCTTTTCTCAGTGATCCTAATTGTTATCTTTTCCACAACTGAGCTGAAACATCTGGAACTATTCATTTTCAGTTCAAGAAAAGTGTGGAGAATATTTAAATTAACTTTGGAAAAAAAATCAGTATTTATGCATTTTCTCAAAAAGAAAAATTTAACAAATCCTGAACACTGTATCTTTGATTTGCCTCATCACAACTTTTATAATTTTAACACTTTAATTTTTGACTGAATTGATATTCATTTATATGTTTAATTTTATTTTTGATGCTAGAAACTTAAAACTGAGATTGCTGTTTCTCTAAATCTGGTTAGAATGCTGAGCAAAGTATTAAAACTACCATTAAATGTGTATGAAAGTAGGAATTTTAAAATATGCTTCACTTTTCCACGTTTTGTTCCACATCATCCGCAAATAACAGTGCATTTTATGGATTTATATCTAATTTATGGCATAATTATATATTATTAAGTCAAAGGAAAACAATGCATTTTTTATTTCCATTGAAGCATTTATGCAAATGATTAAATCTGAGTTTTTTCCAGAGTCCATGAAGAAACCAAACTTTTTCCAGTTCCTGAATCATTTCCTACACACATCAACGTTTGTTTTTCTTTCTCTTAATGAACAGAAGCTATTTTTACGAGTCTTCTCCGGTCCAAACTGGACGGGCCGGTTCCGTTAATCCTTCCTCATCATGGCGCCGCTCATCAGCCAGCCGACACCTGTGGCTATTTTAGGAACACTTTGACATTTTTGGAGCTGATCTGTCATTTTCCGCGGCCCGGTGACCGATTTAAAACTCCTCCTTGATGCCGTTTCATCTAACTATTGTTTTCGTCGCTTTCATCTAAAGCCAAATTTTTTCTTTTGGTCAACAAAGCATTTTATTTCACCAAATATTCTTCATTGATAAATAAAATAAAATAATTTAGGCATGTTCATAAACATTTTTACTGAAGCATCCACTCCAGAAATAAATGTTGCATTTGAGTTTAAATGGAAGTTAGTATCTTTTTACTTTTTTGTTTTAGGTAAAGCTGTTGGTGAAGAGGCCATTAAAGTGAATCCCAAATGTGCTGAAAGTCATCAGTGGTAAGTTTTTACATTTTCTCCCTTTTTTATAATTTTATTCTGGTAAATGATTGTGCGTGTCATATTAAAATATAATTGAGTTTATTTAATACTTAATTAAAAATAGGAAGCTCATGTATGGAGGTGGCTTGAAAACCGAGTTACTGATATGGAAAAATTACATCGTCAGATAAAGTGAAGTGGAAATTTTGGACAAAAAGGACGAAAATTTATATAGTGAGTAAAAAATAAGAAAATTTCTCCAAAACAGTTTCTTTTAATAAAAACTTGTTTTTCATTCATTGGGTAGAAAATCCAGAAATTTTACTCAAGTAAGAGCAGAAATACTTCATGATAAAGTCATTCAATAAAAGTAAAAACTAAATATTAGTGAAAACATATTTTTTCAAAAATATGAATGTAGTTGAGTAAATGTTATCCAACGCTGATTATGTTTATTTAATGACGTATTGATTGCTTATTTCTTATGTTTTTGGTGATTTTGGCTTAAAAATCAAAACGTTACGTTGTCGGACAAAAAAATATTTTCAAGACAACAATTAATGCTTATCCACCTCTTTCTCAACCACACGTCTTCCTTCCACTTAACTATAATTTTTTTTTTGTATTTGTTGAGATTCCATCTGTTCCTGTTCTGTCAATCTTCATTCTGTTGATTGTTTTAGACCCAAACTCAAGCACAAGATGTTCCTCTGAGTTGGTGAAGCAGAAACTTTAAATACAGTTCATGATAAAGATATTGCGTTTTACAAAACAAGAGATTACCCAGAGAACATGGATAAATGCTGGGTGGTCTTCTAGCTTTTCTTTTCACCCAAGTAGTAAAGAAGTAAAGAAACGTGAATTCTCAGGCGATCCAATCAAACATATTTATGTCAACTAACTTCCCAAGGATCAATCTGATAGAATCACATCCAGTTTCAGGAATGCAAACTGAACCAGGCTTAACCCAGCTGACATATATTGACAGTTATACTGGAAGAATTGGTGTGATTAATGTCGGATATTACGGCTGTAGTTCTTCATTCACTGTTTACACCTGCACAGGTGAGGTGCTTTGGGATATGAGGGAGAAAATGTCATTTTTATCCAGAAGCATCTGTAAATCTGCAGATGTTGCATGTTAGTCAGTTTGACAGTGACTAAATATTTTTGCTATGTGTTTGTTGCAAAAAAAAAGTCATCTCTCCTTTTAATTAAGTCTGAAAGGAAAAATCCGGTTTGCAGGCTCTTTGTGTTTCACATCTAAAAAATCTGCTCATGTCAAAACTTGACTGCTGATTAGATGAAGAATTTGCCTGAAATGTGTCCCGTTACATAAACTGAATAAAAAGACTCATCGGCTTTTCCTTGCTGTCTCAACTTAAATCAGACCAAACTTGTTTTAGTGATTTTTGACCTTTAGGTCAAAGGTCACATGTGGGGTACCCCAAGGTTCAATCCTAGGACCCCTCTTATTCAATATTTATATTCTCCCACTAGCTCCGGTTATAACAGGAAATAATATTAGCTACCATAACTATGCGGATGACACACAGCTCTACATTACAATGTCACCAGGTGACCTTTGACCCCATCCAATCACTGAATAAATGCTTAGAGCAGATAAATGTGTGGATGTGCCAAAACTTTCTCCAGCTGAACAAAAACAAAACTGAAGTCATTATTTTTGGACCCAAAGAGGAACGATCTAGAGTCAATGCACAACTTCAGTTATTACAACTAAAAACTAGCGATCAGGCCCGAAACCTGGGAGTAGTGATGGACTCGGGCTTGAACCTCCAGAGCCACATAAAGACAGTAACAAAGTCGGCCTTCTATCACCTGAAGAACATCTCCAGGATTAGAGGACTAATGTCTCGGCCAGATCTAGAGAAACTCATCCATGCGTTTATTTTTAGTCGCATTGATTATTGTAACAGCATCTTCACAGGCCTGTCCAACAAATCAATCAAACAGCTGCAACTGATCCAGAATGCTGCTGCTCGCGTTCTCACTAGAACCAGGAAAATAGAGACATAACACCAGTTTTAAAGTCCCTCCACTGGCTCCCTGTAGCTCAAAGAATAGATTTTAAAATACTGTTGTTAGTTTACAAATCACTGAACGGTTTAGCACCACAATACATCAAAGATCTGCTGTTGTTGTATCAACCTTCCAGACTCTCAGGTCTTCTGGTTCTGGTTCTGCTCTGCATCCAGAACCAGAACCAAGAGAGGAGAAGCAGCTTTCAGCATCTATGCACCAAAACTTTGGAACAAACTTCCAGACAACTGTAAAACAGCGGAAACCCTGACTTCTTTTAAATCGCAATTAAAACACACCTGTTTAGAGTTTCATTTGAAATGTAATATGTAACAATGTATTGTCTATTATATGTTGCATGACTTTGTGTTCTTGTGTTTATGATGTAAAGCACTTTGAAATGCCTTGCTGCTGAAATGTGCTATACAAATAAAATTTGATTATTGTTTTTTATTTTTATATAATTTTATATTTTACTTTTTACATGGAGGTCTCCTCTCTTCCTCTTTTATCTCACTCCTGATCTTTATTTTATTTCAATAATTTATTGATATTGATGAAAAAGAACTAGTTCCATTGGCAGATTATTTTGCTTATTACATGAGAAAATGTTTTTTAAGTGTGAAATAATCTGCCAGTGTCACTTCTGACTTCAAACAGGGCTCTATATATCTTGCAGAAAAATAATTGAAACTTAGTTTTGTCGTATTTCAAGAATGAAACATTAAAATCTCTGAAGAAGACACAGATCAACTTCCTTCTTCACAAAATATAAACAAAAATGGAGATTTTAGAGTTCGTAGGATTTCTCTTTTGTCTTTGGTAAACAATAAAACCAAAGACATTTCTCCCACTGGTGCTCAATTTGGGTCCATTTACCCAGAATGCCCTGCACTTTAGTTCACTTCCTGTTTTTGGAGCGGCCTCCAGTCCGCTTGGCGTTCACATATGCACTCAAGCTGCACTGCGGTTCACTTCATCTGAATAGATTCAGAGGTTTGTAGCTTTTTTGGGGTTGTACTCCGTTTTCACACCTCCAGAAAAACAAACTAAAAACAAACTAAATTTTCTCGACAAATGAACTGGACTTCAATAAAAGTGGACTCAATAGGAACGTGGTATTTCCTTGTCGACGCTGAAATGGTTAAAAACTTTCAAACGGTGCCTGGAGTCAAAGAGAAAATTACACAGTTTTGCTGCTACTAAATGCTGTTGCTCAAGCCTTAAAGGCGTCAGTGTACTTTGTATTTCCAACGAATTCTTTGTTGCACAGAAGATCCTCCTTTGTACTATTACTGCTTAGAATAATAGTATAATTTGATTGTTTACACAACGAGTTCTTCCTCATTCTGAGTGTCAGAAATTCTTGAAACACATTTTTGTTTGCGGCTGAGTTCATGCAAGTTCGTTTGGTTTTTGCAGACGTTTCTTCGTCTGCAAGACTGAAGCCTTGTTCTCTCAGCAGACTAGAGAACAACTGGCCTCGGCTCGCGATGTCAACCGAAACACAAAGCCTCGTTTGTTTAGCTAATAAAGAGAAACGGCTTAATGGGTAATCTAATTTTTGCTAATGGGATTAGCAAGATTCTGAAATGAAGCAGTAAAAGAGTCGGACTTGAATGAGCGGGTCAAATTAGGTTAGAGCTGCTCTGAGAGCGGAGGAGGGTGGGACGGGTGGAGCGCTGCCAGGTGTTGAAAGGAAGTTTATGTTGCAGGTAACTGTTTACTTAGAGCACAGATGCCGTGAGAAAACTTGTCACCGTTTTTTTCTTTTTCTATGAATGCTGTTCATCTTGTCACACTTTGGCAGCTGCTGTTTAGATGCAGCACAACTTACTTTCTGCTCCACCACTGAAACTACTGATTTTTTTACCCCCTTTTCCCAAAAGCACAATCAGGCATTAAAGGTCACCTCATGTGGGACTCTCTCACCTCATGTGGGACTCTCTCACAAATAATTTGTCCCCCCAACTCAACCTTTACACTCATACCTAGAAATGGCTGCAAACAGATGCACAATAATACAACTTTACATCTTTGAAAAGCATTAGTATATCCTCCTGCACAACCAAAAACAATACAGCAAGTGGTTTCTGGATGGTACAACAAAGCAGTTGTATTTTCCAGCAGCCATTGTACAGCTGTAAATATGAATGTACTAGAGCTTAGCTTGGGTTCCTACACTACAAAAACTCAAAATCTTACCTGTATTTTTGGTCTAGTTTCTAGTGTGAATGTCTCAATACAATTGTACTAAGGCAAAACTGACTTACAGGTAACTTTTTAGCAAAATATAGGAGCTTGTTTTTGGTTTCTTAGTCCTTAATATTGATGAGAACATACCAGATCCACTGGCAGATTATTACTACATAGTACTTTTTATTTTAAAAATTAATATTAAGGAATTATTAACTCCTATATCTTGTTGAAAAGTTACTTGCAACTTAGTTTTGTTTAATAACAAGTGGACTAAGATATATTACTGGAAACTAAACCAAAAATACTGGGTAAAATTTAGTTTATACGATGTAGATAACTGGCCAGGCTTTGCTGGGGTTGCTAGGTTACGAGTGGAACTCTGCTGGGGTTGCTAGGTTACGAGTGGAACTCTGCTGGGGTTGCTAGGTTCTGGCCGTTGGCTAGGAAACGGCCAATGCCAGCTGATTTGTGATGTTACATTCCAAAGGTTTTTGAAACTGCTCATTTTCCAGACATCAAAAAATTTATTATACATTTTTTTATGTTTTTTTTTTTTTTTTTTTTTTTTTTTTTTTTTTTCATTTTTAGAATCAGTAGAAACCCAAATGGAAATACAAAAAATTGGGCAAAACGTAAATTTTTGCATAATGCATGTCCTTTAAACTCACGCAGTTAAAATGAAACATCGCTGGAGGATTGGGAGGACATTAATCTGTAAACTCAATCACATAAAAATGACGTTTAGATGTTAATGAATGCAGACAAAGAGGGAGTGATTGACAGTTTAATAGGCTGGGTGAGGAAGGCTAGCTGAACAAACCTGCTTTGATGATCTGAGCGGAGCAGCGGCTATGAAAGGTGCTGCTGTTCTGGCTTCGCACCGCTCCTGCGTCTCATCTTGCCGATGAAGCTCAGATGTTCTTTAAAAAAACAGAGAAACTTTTGAGCTCTTTTGTTGGTGCTTTAATGGAAGAAATGGGTTTGGCATTATCAGTGAGTCATCTCATGTTCTGCACCTTTTTACTCTCGCTTTTATTCACACTGCAAAAACATAAATATTACCAAGTATTTTTGGTCTAGTTTCTATTAAAGACAAAAGTACAAACCTACTAGTAACTTTTCTGCAAAATATTGGACCAATAATTCCTTAATTTTGATGAAAACGTATTTCCACTGGCAGATTATTTCACTTATAGCATTGGAAATGATCTGACAATATTAAGAAATTATTTACTTAAAACAAGCTTTTTAATCTTAATTGAAAGTTTGTTTTGTCTTATTTCAATTGTATCATTTGCATTGGAAACTAAACCAAAAATAGTAAAACTTTGTGATTTTTCAGAGCACTGGAAACATTTTTGTGGATGCTGTCCTCATATTTATTGCCAAACTTTGCCGAAATGCCTGTTTCTTGCTTGTACAATTGTAGCAAACCAATTGAGTACGCAGTAAAATGCATATTTTGCTTCATTTCACAGTTTTTCTGTCATTTTGGTGCAAAGGCTTGTAGACTTCACTCACAGCGATCCTCTGAGACGGTAGAGAAAAAGTATCACTTTGTTTTTGTCCTGAGCTAATTGTGTCAGCAAGCTGTACACATTGCTCACTGAAACATTTGGCAGTTCCTCATCCTGTTTCTGTTTTAGCCTGGAGTCCCATCTGGCAACTCTCTGCGTTTGGCTGTTCGTGTTTGGATCTGAAATCTATCTGCTGTTTCCGCCAAGCACCTGTCTCTTTGGGCTCTTTGTTTTTGCCCAGTGGACTAGGGGATTTCTTAGAGATGTTATTGGAACATGTGCACCAACTTTACGCAATGAAGCGCTCTTTCCTCGCCTCTTCTTCCCCTGTCATCTATTGCAACTTCTCTCCTCCCCTTTTGATACTTTCCTTTTCTTATTAGCGAGGATAGAGTTTCAGCTCTCAGTTAAAGGAGCTGGTTGGCTTCAGCAGTTGGGGCCCTGAGGCCAGACACACCTCTACATCCTATCTCTTCCTCTTCCCTGCTCTGTGCCTCTGAAATAAAGCAGCATTGCATAAGAGCAGTCCTTTCAACAATCCAGTATTCATGTTTAAAATGTGGCTCAGCTGCTTCTGCATGCACTGTAAAACATTGACGTTTCAAGTTGAACATTTTTAACTTGAAAATGAAAGTCCACCTGCTGCCTTGAAAGTGCAACTCAGAAATTAAAACAGGACAGAATAAACACTCACCCAAGGAGAATTCAGAGAGACCATTTAACCTGACAGTCGTGTTGTTGGGCTGTGGGAGGAAGCCGGAAACCCAGAGAGAACCCGCCATGCACAGGGAGAGCATGCAAACTCCGCGCAAAAAGACTCACTTTAGAATAATTTAAATTTCAAATTTCATGAACAGATTCGGATAATAAATTTTATTAAACATCACAGTGAATTCTGCTCAGACATTCAATGAAAACAGGACGTTAAAATGAACATTCGCCTTAATAATATATAATTATAATAAATTGTTTAATTCTGCAATATTTAGCCTTAAGACTTTTTTCTTTTTCTTTTACTTGAGTAAAAATATGTTGCAGTAGTGCTGCTTTTCCTGGAGCGCATATTTGGCTTTTCTACCAAATCTGATCATAAGTAACTTTTCAGTAAGAAACAGAAACTTTTTTTAGTAAATAATTCCTCAATATTGATTTAGAAACACAAGTTCAATTGGCAGATTTTTCCTTTTATAACATGGAAAAATTTTTTGTTTAATAAACTGACAGTGAAACTGGGTTGCTAGGCCAGTTGATTGAAATAATTTGATAAATCAGTAAAACTTGTTTTGTTGACATAAGATAAGTGTCTATATCTTGCTCAAAAGTTACCTGTAAGTTATTTTTGTCTTTTTTTCCAAGATATTTTCTCTAGAGACTCGACCAAAAGTACTTGGTATAACTTTATGTTTTTGCAGTGCAACGTTTTCTCGAGCTAAAGTTGAGAAGATCCGATACCCACGTTGCTGAACTCTCAGCTACTTGCATGAAAACAAGAAGCTGAATCCGGGATTAACACACGGAGGCGAAGGAAAAGCCGACCGCTGTGGCTTTCAGCAGATCTTTAATCAGAGGCGACGGATCTGTTCAAAGCCTCTGCATCCAGCTGCCTGTTTTCATTGGACCTGCTGGTGACAGATAGCATCTCTGCTGGAAACCAGCAGCGCCGCAGCAGAACCAGCCAGTGGCTGTGTGGGCTCGTCCCCCGCTGCCTTCGCTAAATAAACACGAGGTTCTTTAGTCAAGGAGCCCACAGTTCCTCGTCTGGTGTTTGCCGTTCAGGGTAATTTGAGGCAGTATTTGTCTAATCCGTGTTGATTTTCCATTAATGATTGTTTCTCTGGTGTTTGATTCCCCTCCACTTCACTTGAACATGTTATTTAATTTGTATCTGTCTGTTTGGGGTTAAAAATCTCGAGCCATCATGTTTTCTAGCAGAGCAGGAGAAGCTTTAATGTTTTACTGAAACAAAATGGAGTTTAAGGCATTAAGGAGAATTTGCAGCAGCGTAACGTCTTCGATGTTTGTAACCTTTTGGCACTTAGTACGGAAGAAAGAGAGTATAATTAGAGTCTGATAGTTTTAGACAATGGATTTTAATCCTTGTTATTTAAATTCTGCAGAAAAATATTCACCTTAAGGAATTTGCCTATAAAAATTTGTTTATAAAAATTTACCTTCAAAATTTCACCTTCAAAACTCTTCACACATAAATGTTCGCCTTATATTTTTGTGCATTTTATTCTTTCGAAAGAAGCCTGAATCATCATGTGAGACCTTAGAAACAACCAGAATCCTTATCGATTAAGGCTTGTAAACAATCAAATGTTGCAGGTTTTTTGCGACGTTGTTTCCTTTCTGCTCATCGTATTTATTTAGCATGAAAAGCTGCTTACACAAAAACTGATTTCTGAGTTTTATTTTGTCTTCACAGGTACGCCATCATGTGTGGAATCATGGCAGAATACGACTCGATACAAAACAAGATAAAGAACGGTTACATCTTTAAGGTGGGCTACACAGATGTAAAACTATTTTCACATTTTGCAAGCAAAGGTCTGAAGGTGTTTAGTTTCTCTGGATCTTGCTGGGAAATTAGTTGTTTAATCCTGAAAATGTTATGGTGACAGAAGGCCAACTTTATAACCGTCTTTATGTGGCTCTGAAGGTTCAGGTTTCACTCATCCGCTTACATAACCAGAGCATGGAGCAACGGCACGTAGCATTTTCTCTCCTCTCAGCAGTTTTCCCAAACACGGTGTACCTTCAGAGCTCTGACAGGTGAATGAGAGAGAGGAGAGAGAGAGCTGAAAAAGGCAGAAATGAAAAGAAGGGGAGGGTCTGCGACCGCGGGGGAAGTGTGCGGCGCTGCGGCAGGTTTGCGTGTGAGAGGTGTTTGTGAAATACTTGTGGGTTGGTGAAGCAGGACAGATCAGGTTGGGACAGAAGGCGGTGAAAACAGGAGCCGTACCACGAGTCAGCGTTAAAATCCGTCTTTCTCTCTCTCTGTCGTACCATGAATCAGCAATGAAATCCGTCTCTGCTGAACCATGAGTCAGCGTTAAAATCCGTCTCTCTCTCTCTCTGTCGTACCATGAATCAGCGTTAAAATCCGTCTCTGCTGAACCATGAGTCGGCGTTAAACCCTCGTTTCCCTGTTTCTGCCCCAGGATCACCTGGATAAAGCCATCGAGTTGAAGCCGCAGGACCCCCTGTCCTACCACCTGCTGGGCCGCTGGTGCTACGCTGTACGTGGTGACCTTTCCCTCCTGTCTGACCTCAGAGAGTATGGCAAGCCGTTAGTATCAATAATGAGACGTTCTGATTTTGAACACAGAAAATGTAAAAATGTTACAGGAAGACATTTCTGTTAAATCCCAATTAAGTAATCAGATCTTAAAACATTAGTTAATGAGGGTCATATTTAGAGCATAAGTGCTTTAGCACAGATGCTAACATTTCAACACAGAGCATAGATTTACAATTTTAACATTTGTTTATGAATGCTGCATGTGAATGCTGCGAAATCATTCACAGGTAATATATTAATAAAGGCACAGCGGGACGGATCATCCAGGAAATGATGGACAGAAACAGTCTAACTAAAACTAACTGGATGTCGGACAAATTCTGGGATTTATTATGAGTTTCTGCTTATTTCCAAGCCCAAATGAGCAACTTCACGTTCAAAAACGAGCCCAAAACTAAATTTCCTTTTCAAAAAAGAAAAAGCCCAAAACCGCTTATAATTATCGGACTTGGCGACAGAAACTCAAAATACTTCCTGTTTTTCCACCAATAAAATGTGCATCTCCCTCCATTGTTTACGTTTCTGTCGCTGCTGATACTGACGCATAAAAACGTCGGTCACTCCCCAAAACACGTAGAGGAAATTAAATTAAATTTCAAAAGATAGTAACGCAAAGTGGTTTCGATAATCCAGTTGTAGTGGATTTGATATAGCAACGTGTTAGATTACTCGTTGCTCAGAAAACTGGTCACTGATCATTATTTTGGTTACAATGTGAGATTTTTTTTTCATGAATTCATGTCAGCTAGCTACAGGTTCTACTAAATCTGAAGACACGTAGAAATTATTAGCTAATTTAAACACCTGCTGTACTGATGACCTGTCAGAGTTGGTGTTTAGATCGCCTCTTTTTATTTTTTAACTGAACCAAAACACTGAATTCTGCTCCACATCTACATGTCAAATTTGTCATAGTCAAGCTAGCATAGCTAATCTACTTCCTTCTCATTTGCTATTTTTTCTGAATTAAAACTTTTTCCGGATCTTGTTATCTAGTTGTTGTCGTTCTAATAATTAGTACCAAAGCACTGTGTCCCTTTGCTTTATATATCAGGAGAACATTTAAGATTTAATGCATTATGTTGACAACTTGACAGCTAATACTAATGCTAGTCATAATTGGAAAGCAGCTTTTTTGGCGTGACGTTGTATTGCAACGTTTCTATACCGAAACACTGTCAGTAAATACTGAGCATTTCCATTTCACAACTGCTGAGTTTGTAATAAAAACCAGTTTAGAACAAGCCGTTAATCTAGGTCTAATTATTGATGGTGACGGCTTGCCGTAGCGCAGACTGTGTGTGTTTTTTTTAGCAGTTCGCTCCCTGGGAGGCTAACAGCAGCCATTGTTAGCTTTAAATCAGATTGCAGCGGAGTGATAGCTCCATCCTGTTTCTGTTCGGCTCGTGTTCTTTCCGTTCTGCCGTTTGTTTTTGATTCAGATAACGGCTGTTTTATGGCCATCACGCCACGTCTTTACTCACTGAGTCATCGCTGCTATATTTGGACTTTAGATCAAATATAGGGGGGTTTATTGGCACATTTTCAGATTTTGTTTTCATGCAACGTTTAAAAAATTAAAGCAAGAAATGTGAACTAAGTGTTAGTTGAAATGTAAAAAAGTTAGTAGATTTTAACCTTAGAAATAACTTTCATTCCTGGGAAAGGAGGGGGAAATAAATTAATCTTATTTTTCCAGTAGAAACACTGGAAAAATAAAAATAACACTGGTGTAATTTCACTCAGAAAATTGGTGAAAAATATTAACTTTACTATTATGCTGGTTTACAAACAAAAAAAAAGAACACCATCCATGATTTTATTTTGAAATCCTTATAAAGGAAGCTTCATATTCAAACTGCAGTTTTGTCATAAAGTGAAATCCTTTGATTAAATTCGGAAAACATTATTTACAGTGGAAACCATGTATTTTCATAGACATACCAAAAAGTTAAATCAGGTTAAACTTTTCTTGTTTTAGGTTAGTTATAATATCCCAAACAATGTTAAAAATTATATTTAACATTAAAGACAAGAAAACATGACGATATAATGTGACTTTAAAATTTTTTTTAATGGAATTATTTGTGGAAAATTTGAGGATTTTTCTAAAATATTCGAACTAAACTGCAGCTTTAAAAGCTAAAACGACGATTTGCAAACCAGCCAATCCAGGAAACCGTTCCATTTTCCTCGGCTCTGATTGGCTGAACGCCGCCAATGAAAAATAATAGAAATTTTAATGATTTCAATGAAATTGGTGCTAAAGGTCATAAATTACTCTGTATCTTCCTTCTTATTTTTTGTCTGGTATTTTCCTGTTTTAAGGTCGTTATTCGGTTATTTCCCAGGTTGCTCAGTTGTCGTGGATAGAGAGGAAAGTTGCTGCAACGCTATTTGGAGAACCTCCAAGCGCCACAATCGAAGACGCACTGAAGAATTTCCTGAAGGTAAAAACAAAAGCGTTTTTATTTTGAGGTCCTGGAAAATTTTATTTTGGTGTTTTTAAGGTTTGGAAAGTTATTTATTCAAGTAATTTATAGACAATAATTAGTAATAAAATCTAATGTTTGGTGAAAAGCTTAAATGTGGGCACCAGATATTTAAAGATTAGGAATTTTTTCTCACTGTTTGAAAACAAATCAGATAAAAATATTATTGTTTTCGATTAGCGAGAATATCTAAAAATATTTCTATTTGCTTTATGTCAGAAGTGAGATGTTTTTCAGTGTGAGAGAATTAAAAAACTTAAAATTTAGTTCCATTTTAGTTTCTCACAAAACATTATTAATAACCATATTAAATAATATCAAGTAAAGGTGAATTGAAACAGTCGTTTTTAGTTGATTTGTATTGTTTTTTGTCTCCAAAGTGGTGCTGAGAAAGTTTGAAACTTACCTTGAAAATGCTTAAAAATGCTTGGATTTTATGTGAAAAAGTTTACAAACCCAGTTATTTTTAACAAAGTGAAGCAGACGAGTGAAATTTAACAATTAATAATGCAAGTGAGTCTATTTGAGGGGCTAAATACTGAATACGGTGATAAAATCCACCTTAACATAGAGCTAAACGTTACATTGAATTTGCAGGGAACTGCTTGAAACCCATTATTGATATAGTATTGGATATTGATATCGGTGTATTTTTAAATAAACAACCTGTTGGATGAATGTGGATTAATCCTAATTGGTTGAAATGAATGAACAAATACTCTTAAATAACAGAGAAAGTTGAGTTTTTATTTAGTTTTGTTAGTTTTTGTTCTCACAATCAACCAGAATCGAGTTTATTTTGCGCCGCAGCAGAAATTTTCCCTCCTGCGTTCCTTTTTGTTTTAATCTGTGTGTTTTCAGAGCGGTCTAATCTGCGTTCCCACATTTCAACTGTTTATACAGCAGAGAAAATACTTTTGCCCCTGGCCAGTTTTCCTCTGCATGCCTCTTCTCATCAGCTGGGCTTTAAGTGAGTCGTGCTGCGACTCGCTGGCGAAAACCTGGGAGCACGTCTGCAGCTGGAGGGAACAAACCCAGCGCCAATTCAGACTCAAACCGCCACTGTTACAGAAGGTGGAGTAAAGGCGGGGCCGGTTACCGTGGCTACCATAATTGCACCTGACCAATCAGCGTATTCGTTTTACGTGAAAACAAAAAACAGATCCTTCCTCCAAACCGTCTCCAGCTGCGCGTCCATTAACTGTAAAACTGCACAAATCGGAATTACGAAAATAAATTTGCTTGATGGAACTGTTTGGTTTTTTTGTAGGATTTTTTATTTACAGTAAAAGTTTTGTGCGCTGTTGTAAACAGTCTGTTGTCTTTTTGTATTTCATCCTGCACTGCAAAGACACACAATCTGACAAAGTATTTCTGGTTTAGTTTCTTGAGTAAACTAGAAATAAGACAAAGTAACTTAAAAGTAACTTTTTAATTGTTTGAAGTCAATATTTCATTGATCAATATTTCATTGATATTGATGAGAAGGCAGTAATAATCGGGAAGATTATTGCAATTTTTTCACAATCGTTACCAAGTTCCTCTGGCAGTTTATTTCACTTATAATGAAACGTTTTTCCCATATTGTGTATTAATTTGTCTGCCAGTAGAACTTTTTCACCAACATTAAGGAATTATTTAGTCAAAGAAAAAAAAGCTCTTGTATCTTTTCTGAAAAGTTACTTTTAAGTTAGTTTTTTGTCTCTTTTTGTGCCGCGATGCTGCTGTTGTAGTTTTCACTCTGTGCGGCAATAAGGAATATTTCTTTTCTTCTGATCTGTTGGATAATCTGTTTTCTGCTGAGGTAAATCCGCCGGCTCAGAAATGGACCAGTTTTGTGTTTTTTCTGTTAACGCAGGTTGAAGAGATTCATCCTTCGTACTCGAAGCTGAACTACGTGTTCCTGGCGAAGGTCAGTGACGGTTTCTGATGATCCCGTTGGCCGTAAACTGTGATTTATCTTAACTTTACAGTTTTTTGTGGCAGTGTTATAAAGCTTTGGGGCAGAGCGAGAAGGCCAGGAAGATGTGTGAAGCTGCATCGTCCATGAACACCGTCTGCAAAGAGGTTCGCTTCACTTTAAACCCAAAACATTTCCATTTTAAACCAATAGAACATGAAGTAAAAAGAATTTCATTCTAGACATGGAGTTTTTGCTCATTCCTCAATCATCGAGGTCTGGACTTTGACTAGGCCATTCTACCCTCTATTTGTCTTTTCTATAAATTCACCACAGAGCAGTAATTAATCCAAAACTTTCATGTAAGAGAAAAAGACGTCTGTAAATATGTGTCACCCAGAACTCATCAAGTTTTAGCTCTGTAAAAAATCCTTTGCTGTCCAATTACTAATTGGTTTATCCAGAAATTTATTTATTTATTTCCAATGTTGGATAAAACTGTTATTTCAAAAACCAACAGAATATTTTTTATCAGATTAATTGATTAATTGTCGGCATAATCGATAGATTAATCAGTAAGTAAAATCTTTAGCTGCAATTTAGTTTTATAGTTTCATCAATATTCACTTTTCTTAATCCAATCTGAATTGAGGGTAAATTAGTTTCTTTTTGTGTGTGTCTTATTTTGTTTAATGTTCTATCAAATAACAGCCAAAACTAAATTTGTTGATTTATTTCAGAAAGTTCAAAGACAAAGTGCTCTGGGTTTTGGTGACATTTGTCCTTCTTACCAGTTGGTGGCGCTAATGCCACTGCCAGTGGCTATGATGAATGAACACGAAGAAGAAGAGGAACTATTCACTAAGACTGTCTATTGACCAAATACATGTGCAATTTGACATTTTTTAAATGAATTTGCTTAATGGAAATACAGCAATTTAAAAAACACAAATTTGTTTGATGAAAAGTTTTGTTGGTTGGATGAGCTATGTTCTTCTGGCTGGATGCAAATCGGTTTACTTTACAAAACTGCAGTGGAAACACTTTTGTCACATCACATGAGTCACGTAATCAACAACTGGATGTTACTACTGCCAGAAACAACAAACAAGACGACAGCAGGAAGTTTTTGATGACTTGTCACCTGAACAAATTTATTCTTTGTGATTTTGTTTCTTATTAATTGGGGAAAAAAACATAACAGCAAATTATTTTTTTATTTTTTAACATTAGCAGAAAATTGACAAAGTTTTACACACATTTCTACTTTCGCTTTACAATAACGCACCACTGCCAGTGAAAACAGAATGGAAAAACATTTAAAGACAGTTAGCTTCAGTTAGTGGCTGAACAGTTCAAAATGAGCCAAAAATGACTTTAAAATATTTTTCTTTATTCAGGATGAAGAAGCGCAAAAGGAGCTGGATTTACTCTACCCTTCAGTCAGAGTGTGAAAACGCGAAGGAACCATTCTGAAGTTATTTATATGTATACATATATAATATGGGGGGGAATCAGTAGGTGAAAATATCTGTTTGATTCACTCTGTGAGTGCAACACTATCATATATTTTTATTAGTTTTCTTATTCTTTTGGTTAATTCTCGTTTCTAATCATGAAAAAGTTCATATCTGTCCATTTTTATGTTATAATCTGAGTTTATGCACTTATTATGTATGTGATTTTTTTTTTTTGCTCCAGACTTTATACACATGGGTGACGCCATATACACTACAAAAACAATCTTACCAAGTATTTCTGGTCGAGTTTCTGGTGCAAATATCTAACGACACTTTAAATACGGCAAAACAAACTAACAAGAAACTTTTCAGCAAAATGAACAAGCTTGTTTTAGCTCCTATATCCATATTTATATCATGGGAAAAATGTTTTATTATAAGTGAAATAATCAGCCAGTGGAACTAGAACTTTTTCATCAATATTGAGGAATTATTGACAGAAAACATGGTCCTCACTGAAATGTTAGTTTAGTTAGTTTTGTCTTATTTTAAGTGAAGATATTTACACTAAAACAAACAAAATATAAAATGTGTTTTTGCAGTGAAAGGCTCTGCTGCAAAGATCATTTCATGAAATCATCTTCAGTTTCCACCTACGCTAAGAGAAACGGGTCATATTTCAGAGAATCCCACAGAGTTTGAGGCAAATTAAAACATTTACCTGGAAACAGAAATGAAACTGAAAGATCCTGCTTCACTGTAAAAAGTCATCCGTAACAGAATCTCAGCAGTTTTCCCAACAACTTTTATTTTGTTGCGCCAGATGAATCATTCAGCTCTGCTTCTCCCTTTTCTGATGTTTTTATGCAGAAGCAGTGAAGGTTCTGCTGGATTGTGGCTCCGCAGTGGAATTAGATTATCACTAAATCAATGATTCATTTAAAGACCAGAACATTATTTGGAACAACAGCATAATAACGACTGATGGAAAAGTCTGACAGCGAAGATGAAACAACCATTATGGACGGAAACATAGAGAGCAGCAGCAAGTTTCAAAAAACTCTGAAAGTTGCATTAATTTCAGACATTCTCTAGAAAAAAAGTGGAAACTTTTTCCAAAAAACAATTTCCAAAAGTCAAAAATTTCCTAAAATATGTGAAATTTTTATATTAATTCAAGATATTTTCTTGAAAAAAAATTACATTTTTGTGTTCTAACAGCTAAAAATTTGCAAGACAGAAATCTCAATTTTTTAAATAGTTCTTTTAAAAAAAACTTGGAAATTTTAAATTTTCAGACACCAGATATTTTTGAGAAAAAAAATGCAGTAATTTTAAGTTTAATCTGAGAAATTTGAAACTGGGTCAAAAATTTGCTCAAAACATCTCAGAAAGTTTAAATTCAGAAATTTCAGACCTCCAAAGGTTGAAAATTTTCTCAGACATAAACAAAATCTCTGAGATAAAACTTGGAAGTTTCAAAATCTGAAACTTTCATTCTGAAAAATGAAAGTTTTTCAGAAAACTGGGTTCACCTGGGTTCACCTGGGTTCACCTGGTTAACGTGAACATGTTTTTAAATTACTTGGTGTTTGTGGGGGAAGCGGCGAGCGACGGGAAAAATTCCCCAGGATCTGTGAATCATCTGAACCCTGATTTACATAATTCCTCCTGAAGCAAAAGTAGAAGTTTACAGAAAGTGATGAGGGTGACTGAAAAAAAGGAAATATTGACTTTATTCTCAGAATTCTGACTTTAATCTTCTGAGAAAAAAGTCAGAATTCTGAGAAAATTATCAACATTTTGAGAATATTCTGAGAAGAAAATTTGAATTTTGAAATTTAAACAATTCAGAACATAAAAAGTCAAGTTTGATCAAAATGTAACCAAATTCTAAGAAAATTCAGAAAAAGTCTGAATTCTTAGAAAAATCAAAAGTTTGAGCATTTTTTTAATTCATGTTTTTCAGAAACCCAAATTATTTTCTGTAAAAGTCAGACTTTCTTCATTTTACTGTTGTATTTTTTGGGGGTAATTTATTTTATATGAAGATGATTTTCATTACATTTTATGTATAAAGTTCAAATGATGCCGTTTGAAGGTCAGATAAGCTGTAGTTTATGTAAAAAAATATGTAACAAAACCATGAATATCAGGAGTTGTGAAAAAGAAAAGTAGATGTATCTGTTGGTGTTTTGATGTTTTTATTAATCTGAATGTATCTGAGACCATTACTGTTGGATTGCTGTTTGATATTCCTGGATGCTTTATTGATGTTAAATCTCACACTGATTTTAATTCTGACATATTGGCTCCCAGATTATTATGAATCCTTTTGGATTGAATTATGCAACTTCAGTATAACTTACGTTTGTTTTAAGGCTTTTTATCCAGCATGTACGAAGAGCTTCGGGTCAAATGTACGACACCGAATCAGGACCTTCGTAGAGAAAATACGAAACAGAAGAATCAGAAAGTTTTACATTATTCAGAGTAAAAGTCTAAATTTTGCTAAAAGAAAAATCTGAAATTTTGAAATTAAACTCAGAAATTTTCTAGGAAAAGTCCAAATGTAAGAAACTCAGAAATTTTATTGATTTTTTTTACTTTTTAAACTAAGAAATTTCCTTGTTTTTTTTTTTTGTTGAAAATTTCAGCAATTTTTGATGGAAATTTAGTCGTTTTTGCCGCTAAATGACCCTAAAGCGCCGTCATACAAACAAACATTCATATCCTTTTAAAGCTTCTTTTCTTCCTGTGTGTCTTTGTTCTGCCTTTTTTTACCAGCTGAATGTACGTAAATGATTTAAATATTTTTCTGACTGGCTGAAGCTGCGGCTCAGTCATTACTGGAAAGTGTTAGTAAATCTACAAATTACTGACTGGAGGAATCGTTTTCCTGCCTTGTTTGTGTTCTTTTCTGTTTTATTGGTGTTTATTAAAAAAACAGTAACACGTTTTGTAATCTCCAGTGTATAATTAAAGTAATAATTTTTTATGTTAAACCAAATTGATCTTCATCCAAAGTCATCCTGGAGTAACAAGTTTGGTCGTGTCATGCAGAATTCGCCTCTGAACATTGTGTGCCAGCGCAGCGGGGAGTTTGTTCGCCTCCCGCTGGTCTCGTCATGTTTCATCTGTTTTTCGGTGCTTCCCAAATCAGTGCAGGTGTTTGTTCATGGAAACTTCACCTTTCCTGCCTGTTTTTATAAGCCTCCTTTAATCAAGCGCTTCGGTCGAGACAGCTGTGGTGTCTGCACATGCAGATGTTGCAAACGGGTTCAGAAGCTGCACCATTAAACGTTTGTTTGGTTTTTTTCCCTGCTGCTGCACCAAATTTTCATCCAGAGGCCATATTTGATCGATTGCCTGTTTCATTGCCTGTTGCATTGCAACACGATAAAATCCTATATTTGCTGAGTCAACTTGACTCATTTAAAGGGGCAGCGTTATGTAAAATCCACTTTTTTAGCTCCACATGTTTTAATGTTATTCCTTCAAGAATAAACCTTGAATCTTTCATACATGTTTAACAAGTCCTTTAATCTTCATGGCAACCATTCAGCTGCGCAAAACGCCTGGTTGGCCCTAGCCCCGCCTTCGAGGCGCAGCTCCTCTCTCACTCAGCTCCATCAGACTAGCCAGCAGCAATTAGCAAACACCTGGTGGAACTGAGAAGCTTCTGAGCTACTTCTCAGGGCAACGCTGAAAAAAATGTTGATTAAGGGTTAATGGAGGAGAGATGTAGGGATGACTTCCTGAAGGCGGAGTTTCAGAAAGAGAAAACATTTTAAAGAGACAGACGCCCAATTTCAAGGCATTTAATTACGATGTCAAATTTCTTTAAAGTCATATTTGATACATGCGGCTACTAAAGTTAACATACTGACTTGATTGTTATAATTGATTTAAGTTTTTACATTACTACAAGTTGACTTAACATAAAATTTCACATTTTATCCCTGTTGAACTAATTTCCAAGTTTAATCAACTTTGTAATGTTCATTAATTACTCAGAATTTTTTACAGCTTTGGAATGTTTTTTTTATTGTAAATTGTGTTTGAGTCTAAATAAGAAACAAAAGAAAATTTTCAATATTTTGTGCAAACTAAGAATTTTACAGATTCTGACCAGAACACACAAACAAAAATTCATTTCTGAATATTGAAAATGTATGCCTTCAAATATGTTTACATTTTTCTGAAAAATAAATAAAAACAATAGACATAATTGCATTAACTCTTACTAGTACTGAAAATATTCTTAAATTTTCTAAGTCATAATTTGTTACAAACATTCTTAAATGTTTAAAGAAAGTTTTAAACTTATACATTTTTAAATGTAAAAGTATATTGACTTTAAATGTTTTTATTTGTTTCATGGTGTAGTTTGTTCTGTTGTTATCAATCTGATTGTTAGAGAAACCAACATGTAATATTGGAGCCATATGGAGAAAATTATAAAATTACAAGAATAAAGTTATAATAATATAACTATACTTTTATTATTTTCAGGATCTATTGTGCATTTATATACTTGACCTTATCTATAAAGTTTTATAGTTAATGTTAAAATTAGCTCTGATCAATTAATAAAGTCCATTTAGATCTTTTAGTGTTGCAATTTGGCCTCCATCCAGTAGAGGGCGCCGCTGGTCATCATTAAGCGAAGAAAGACCAATATGGCGGATGTGCCCAAGCAGAATAGTTAAGAGAAACGGTCCAAACAGAACGCAGTGGGGAACAACATGCGCTTTATACTGTTCTGTTTACAAATAATAAATCCTCAAAAAGCTCCATAAGTTTCTCCTTTATAGCGCCGAGCTGCATGACGAAGTAGCATTAGCATGTTATGGAAAATGTCATTAGCGTTAGCATGTTATGGAAAATGTCATTAGCATGTTATGGAAAGACAGTTTGCTCTCTTGCCGAAAGAGAAAATGTCCGCTTATTATTTAACGGTTAGTCGGTCGATAAGATAAGTCCACTTTAGATTAACTCATTAATTATAACTTACATCCCTAATTATGTGTAATTATGTCTCTTTGTGAACCAGAAGTTTGTCTTTGTTTAATCACCCCACCATGAGAAATAATCACCCCACCTTGAGAAAATAGCTGTGCAAATAGAATAAAATAAAATGTGATCGTAATGCTCATAACAAGTGCATTCACGCATTGAACTTGACCCAAAGTCAACCCCTCTGCTCAGCTTTGGACTATTTCTGGCTAGACCTGCTGTTTGTTCAGGACTCACTTCAAATAACCCCAGTCTCAGCCCTGCTGTGACATTTTGCTGTCTGAATACCACAACCTCCATAATTCATATGCTGCACATCCACACATTCATTCTGCTGAAGTTACACAACTTGCATGTGTTTTATCTCCAGCCAATGCAAGATGCAAGCTATCAGTCTCATGCTAATCTGGCTAATGCAGACTTGACAGGTTAAGCTGTGATGATATAGGATGTATCTAACAACCAATTCATGCAACATGTCAAGTTGCTTTGCAATGTAGCGCCAGAAAACGGCTCTTTAATGATTGGTGTCCAAATGCTTTGCACAGCAACATTTTCTCTGTAATCGCCATTGGGGCTCAACATGCTAGTGACTCAACATGCTAGTGACTCAACATGCTAGTGACTCTACATGCTAGTGACTCAACATGCTAGTGACTCTACATGCTAGTGACTCAACATGCTAGTGACTCAACATGCTTGTGACTCAACATGCTAGTGACTCTACATGCTAGTGACTCAACATGCTAGTGACTCTACATGCTAGTGACTCAACATGCTAGTGACTCAACATGCTTGTGACTCAACATGCTAGTGATTCAACATGCTAGTGACTCTGCATGCTAGTGACTCAACATGCTTGTGACTCTACATGCTAGTGATTCAACATGCTAGTGACTACATGCTAGTGACTCAACATGCTTGTGACTCAACATGCTAGTGACTCTACATGCTAGTGATTCAACATGCTAGTGACTCTGCATGCTAGTGACTCAACATGCTAGTGACTCTACATGCTAGTGACTCAACATGCTAGTGACTCAACTAATGTTGACTCAACATTAGCATGAGGGCTAGTTAGCCCTCATGCTAACTTTAGACTCTTAGCTTATTTAATGCTATGTTGTTGACGCCATACATGCTACTGACAGCATTTAAGCTAACCTTAGCATTTTGGCTAATTGTAGCTTATTCACTAATGTTAGCATACAGAATGGAGTGAGTCCATATTTTCACTATTAAGATTCTGAAAAGTAAATTTTTATTCAGCTCTTTTCACATTAAACATAAATCTTGATCAGGGCAATAAATCAATTAATCACATGATAAATTGAAACAAACTCAATAATTTCGATTTGCATGATTTATTATTTTTCTGTTTTCTCTCTTTCTGCCAAAAAACTGGATTAAAAAGGTTTTTAGTCTGTTGCTTTGGTCTCAACTAAACCTTTTTTTATTTATTTTACAGAGAATTCATAATTAAATTTATTTGTTGTTTCTGTTTTGTTTATTTTGGATACTTAAAATGTCTTCCAGTTTCAGTGTTAAATGTTAGAGTTTAAAGTTAGAATAAAATTACAGTTTCAAGAAAATATGCAAAAAAACATCTCATTAAAAGTTATTCTGCAGCTTCAACAGAAACTAAGTAGGAGAATTTTGAAATGCAGCTTAATATCTTATAAACACACTAAATACAAACAAAGTGCCATAAAGTCAAAGGTGTGGGGAAACTTTAACATCCAGAGTGAAAAGACGTAAATGTTTCAGCTCAGCATTTTGTAATGTTTTGCAGTTTGACTAAAGGAAGCAATGATTTCACTCCCATTCATAAAGGTTATGCTTGGAGAGCTGCCACACGTTTCTCCAGGGGCTGTTTAGTCCTGGGAATTACCTCGGATTTGTAAAAATGGGAAAAAAGAGAAAGCTGGTCGGTATCAGCAGCCATCTACTGTCTGATTCTGTCACGCTCTGGTTAGTCGGCAGCTATGTGCCTCACTTTGAACGAGTACAGGATGTTCCAGCAGGCCCAGATAAAAATCAGAACAGGCAGAAGGTTCTTAGAAACTTTTCTCTTTCTGCTCCCGGCTGCAGCTCAGGTCTTGGAAAGCATCGAACGGGACAGTTTTGGTTTATAACATCAAAAACCAAGCTGGATAGATTCATTTGGATTAAAAGTAGTAGACAGAACTGACCTACACTGCAAAAACAAACTCTCACCAAATATTTTTGTGTATTTTCTAGAGCAAATATCTTAGTACAATTTTTTAAAAATTAAATTAACTTCCAAGTAACTTTTTATTAAGAAATGAATACTTGTTTTAAATAAACAATTCTTTAATATTGATGGAAAAATGTTTCTATTGGCAGATTATTTTACTTTGACATGGAAAAATAACCTGCCAGTGGAACAAATCGCTTTTCATCAATACCAAATAATTATTTACTCAAAACAAGCTTCTGAGTCTTTCAGTAAAGTTGTCTTTCGAGTTACAGGTTGGTAAAATTTAATTTCAAAAACCTTCTGAAGGGAAAGTTACAAATCAGGAGGCGCTGAGGCTGAACTGAACAGAAAACATTTAAAATTGATAAAAAGCAAATTGTATCTCCAATATTTTCATTTTGTGCAGCATGGGTCCAGAAAAAAAGAAGCTTAGCAAACTGGCTGTGGATAAAATCATTTTATTTGGTTTTCTCTACACTGTAAATGTTTACATGTTGCAGTTACATGAACCAGATCCTGCAGGAGCCAGTAGATCTCTGCCTCTAATGTGAGACGTTGAGAATCAGATTCCTGCGCAAACACACCCAAAGTGAGCCCAGCTTTAGCGAGGAGGAGAAATAACCAGGTTCCAGTTTCACATTTTCTATGCAGTTTCTGCAGTTTAATGCCCTGCACTGCAAAAAAAACCAAAGTCTTACAAAGTGTTTCTGCTCTAGTTTCCAGTGCAAATATCTTCATAAACTCGAAATAAAAAAAAACTAACAAGCAACTTTTCAGCAAGAAATCAGAGCTTGTTTTTAGTCAGTAATTCCTTGAAATTGATTTTAAAAAGTATTTATTTCTGCTGGCAGATTATTTCACCTGTAAAGTCTCGTCAAGTGAAACAGACTCCAAATGGATCAAAAACTTTGTTTACATCAATATTAAAGAATCATTAACTGAAAACATTTTTGTTTGTTTTGTCTAATTTCAAGTTTACTCAGATTTTTACACTAGAAATTAGACCAGAAATACTTGGTAAGACTTTGTGTTTTTGCAGTGTAATAATGAGATCCTGTCTCCATATACTGCTGCACACTGTCAGCCAGCTGGCTGAAAGAAACATACTCCACATTTCACTCGAATCCCTCTGATGCTTTATAACAGCAGCAAGATTTATTGGTTTTTCTCTCTTAAGCAAAAATAATTTCAACAATTTTGCTGTAAAACACGTAGATATTTTATTATTTTAGTCGTCAGCAGGTCAGAATTTCTAATCCTGCACTGCAAAAACAGAAAATATTACCAAAGGTTTTTTTTGTCCAGTTTTTTTCAGAATAACAAGTTTTATTTACATAGTGAAAATATTTCTGTATTTTCACTTAAACTAACTTAAAAGTAACTTTTCAGTAAGATATAAGAGCTTAAAAAATACTAAATATGGATGAAAAAAGTTTCACGTATTTCACAGTCAACTGAGCCGTCGCCTAGCAACCCACAGTGTTTTACGTTTAACATGGTAAAAATGTTTTTTTACATGTGAAATAATCTCGTAGTTTTTCTCTAAATCTTGATAAAAAATTTGTTCTTGAGTTAGTTTTGCCTTTTTTTCAGTGTGCTGATATATTTGTACCAGAAACCCTCGGTGGTGTTTTCTGGTTTTGCAGTGCGCGTCTGTAATGTCCTTTACATTTTCCCGACTCTGTGAGCGTCCAGAGAAACGTCTGTTCACATGTGAAATCTGACCGTCTCTTTACAACAGCATCTGTAAAAAGTTAAAGAATATATTAGATTAAATAGTATTTTAGTCTTTCTCTTCCTGAGGAATAAACTGGCATATGTATTAATTTACACGTTAACATGTAGAGTTAGCAGAGCTGCAGCAAGGAGCTCATGTAGCTGCAGCGGCTTGTTTCCGAAACACAGTTATGAAGAAACACGACTGAGAAACATTTGGCTTGTTATTCAAGCAGATAAAGTGATTTTTCACCAGGCAGCAAAGCAGCAATAAAGGCTTCAGTGTGCAGGTTCTTTTCCACCTTGCAGGGAAACGTTGTGCAGCAGCTCAGTATCAGGATCAGAGCTTCATTGTTGTGTTTTTCCAGACTGTTTTCTGGTTCTGCAGCCGCTGCAGGCTGCAGCGGCTGCAGGCCTCGGCTCTGACCGATCAGCTGCGGCCGGCTAACGTTGGGGACAGATGTGCCGTCGCTGTCTGAGCGCAGCTACAAATTCAGGTGCAGACGCGTTTATCAGCTCCTCTGGTTAAAGCTCTGCTGAGTCTTAAGTCTCTGCTACTGCAGCAGCGAAAAGATTTAGAAAAATCTTCCCACAGCAACCAAATGAGCTTTTCAATGAAATTGAACAATCAATAAATTAAGGTGTTTTTTAACGGCTGCCATTAATGATTATTTTAATGAGTGATTAATTGATTATTCTGACGATTAAGTGATCAATCGGATAAAAAATATTGACATATTTTTTATCTAATATTAGAAATACGTTAAAAATGCAAATAATTACATTTTATTCCTTTACTAAATCTGACCCGAGTGAAGCTAAAACAGAAAAAGGTGGGAGGTTTTTTCTAAAATGCCAAATGTAAACACCATTGCTGAGTGCGATGGAGGAACCGTCATGCTGTGGGCCTCTTTTTATCCCAAACACCCCGGACACCTCGTTATGTTCATGCAGGATTTCTACAATATCAGGGGATTTTAAATAAAAAGAATCTGACGATGATCTGAAATCTCTTGTGAGAAAAAAGTTTGAATTTTTCTACACTTTCAAGTCCGATCATGTTAATATTTCAAATATTTTTTTAGGCTGTTCACTTATATTTACTAGAGGTGCTGATAAATGTCTGCTTCCAAATATCTACTGCATATTTAGGCACAAACCAAATCTCTGCTCTTCCTTATTCTTCATTTTCTGAGTCCTTAGACCAGGAGTCTGTTGCACAACTTGGAAAAAACAACTAAAACATTTAGACAAATATCTACTTTAGGAAACTTGTCATCAGTTTAAAGAGCCACTAATTTATTTATATTTTTAGTATTTAAAATGAAGCTGATTGATAAACTTTTTTATGTGATGGAAAATGCAATAAATCACATTTTTAAAAACTAATCAGGTATTTTAGTGTCATCCATACACTGCAAAAACACACAATGTTACAAAGAGGTTTTTTAGTATAATTTTGTCTTATAAGTGAAAAACTCTGCCAGTAGTTTTGACTTAGAGGAAGCTTTTATATTTTACGGAAAAGTTGGTTTTGTTTTATTTCAAGTGGTGAAATATTTGCACTTAAAAGGAGACAAAAACTCTTGGAAAGATTTTGTGTTTTTGCAGTGTAGCTTCTAGCGACAGCTAGCTTCTAGCGACAGCTAGCTTCTAGCTTCAGCTAGCACCAGCTAGCTAGCTTCTAGCTTCAGCTAGCTTCTTTTCTCCATTTTTGCAGGAATAAAATGTAGACCTATTAAAAATTCAGCATCTGTTTTTATACTTGTACTAAAACGGTTGTTTTTAATTTCTGGCTGAAGTTTTCAGGTCCGATGATCCATTTGTGGCTCCGGCGCCGCAGGTTGCGGACCCCTGCTGTGACCTTTAATCTTTTGCCTGTGATTCTGCGGCTGCCTGCGCCGCGCCAGCGTCCAGCAGAGTCACGTCGTCCCGCAGCGACACGGCGATGGCGTAGTCCTCCGGTTTGAGGGTCAGGCCGTACTTGTAGTCCAGGTTCAGCGTCTTCGCCGGGTCGGCGCCGATGTGGCACTGATGCACCAGCAGCGCCGTGAACAGGAACAGCTGCATCTTGGAGAGCTCCTCGCCGATGCACCGCCGCCGGCCCAACGAGAAGATGAGCACGTTGGCGGCCAGGTCTTTGTTCAGCGCCCCCTGGGGGTCCAGGAAGCGCTCCGGGTCAAAGGTCCCCGGGTTGGACCAGGTGTTCGGGTTGTGGTTGACGGACCACTGGTTTATGAAGATGACGGTGTTCTTTGGAATGGCGTAGCCCATGATGGAGGTGTCTGTGATGGTGGAGTGGGGGATGGTGAGTGGGATGAAGCTGGTGAAGCGCATGACCTCGTAGAGGAAGGCCATGACGTACGGCAGCCCGTTCTGGTCCTCGATGGACGGCAGTCGGGTCCGGTCCACAACTCTGTCCACCTCCAGCTGCAGCCGCGTTTGGATCTCAGGGTACCTGACGGCGAGACATCAACTTTTTTACAAGCTTGTTAACGCTGCACCGCTCCAGACCAAAACCAACCAATCAGAGCCAGGAGGCGGGCATTAGGCTGTCAATCATCCATGTGAATGCCCTGCTAAATGTGTTAATGGTGGAGAAACAATTTACCATTATAGGAAAACTGTTTATCTGCTTTCATTGGCTAGTTAGCATGCTATGATATGAGGAAGAAGCTGTAGTAACAGTAGTGAGGATGATTGACAGCGCTAAGACCCGCCTCCTTTCTCTGATTGGTTGTTTCTAGATAGAAATGGGAGGAAGAGGCAGAGTTTTCACAAATATATGATAAATATATTTTTATAAAAGTTTCAGAAAAAATGGTTATTTGATTTGTGCTGAGGCAGAAAAGAAAAACAGGAGGAAACAGGAATGGAGATGTTTCAACATAGACAGTAATTAACTCATAAATATTATAGAGGAGCTAAAATATGTCAGTTATTTCCTGAGAGTAGGAAATAACTGAGGTGTTAAATCAGTGATTAAACTTTTCAGTGTTTTTGTTTGTTGTGCATTTGGACTAAATATTTTTAAGATGCCAAATTTAAAACGCCTAAAAACTTAAAATCCGGATAAACTTTCAGATTTATTCTTTTTTTCCTTCCTTTTTAAATTTCCTGTTATGGAAACTGAAGCAGGTAAAATCTGACATTTAAACGAAACTTTTGATCAGTTCAACTTTAATGTTTCACATGAATCCGGTTTTAAAGCTGAACAGATTATTTTATCAAACATCCCGGATTTGAAGGTTTCTTACTTCACCAGTATGAGGACGATCCACTGCAGCGCCGTGGACAGCGTGTCCTGGCTGGCCCCAAAAATGTCCCCTATGGTGGGGGTCACGAAGTCCGTCCCGGCGGAGAGCCCCGCGCGGTCCGTGATTTGGTCCAGAGCCACGATGAACGCGTCCGTCATGTCCCGGATGGCGCTCGACTCGATGGACTTCCTGTGCTCCAGGACTTTATCCCGGATGAACACGCCGAAGTCCCGGTTCAGGTTCTTGAAGTCCTCGAAGATGGTTTTGATTGGGTTGGGGAAATACTGGAGCCACGGCATCACGTCCACGATGCTCCCCGCTCCCACGGTCTTGGTGAACTTGTCGTTCCTGCCCACCACCTCCCGGAACTCCGCATCCTCGTAGTTGTACCTCCTCCCGAAGCAGACGGCGCTCATCACGTTGGCCGTGGACACCACCAGGTCGGCGCCGGGCTGGAAGTACCGCTCCGCGCGCGTCTTCTCCACGAACCGCCGCAGAAGCTCCCGGAACTCGGCCTGGACGTGCTGCTCGAAGGTCCGCTTGGTCTGCGGGTTCCCGGTGGAGAACATGCGCACGGTGGACTGCGCCACTTTGCGGTGCGTCTTCCACCAGTCCGAGACGGTGCCGAACGCCATGCTCCGGCCGTCGGAGATGAACCGGAAGGAGGTGAAGTCCGGCCTCCCGGCGAAGTCCAGACCCTGCTTGATGAGCGCCGGGCGGATGGCGTCGCCGTTCAGAACCACCACGGTTCGGCTGCCCAGCTGGATCTGGAAGACGTTGCCGTACTTCCTCGCCATGCGGGTGCAGTACAGGTGCGGCGCGTTGCCGAGCTGCGCGGCGTTGCCGATAACGGGCCAGGCGAAGGGCCCCGGGAGGCCCGGAGGGGCCCCGCGGCGCCGGAGCCACACGGAGAGCAGCAGAGCCAGGCAGGCCGCCAGCAGGGCCCCGGGGGCCAAACTGAGCCCCGCGGGGGGGAGGAAACCCTGCAGGGACGCTTCCATAACGCAGATCCTGCGGGACGAGAATAATGAGAATAATTGTTATAATTGTAATAGATTTTCTGGAAGGAATTGAGCTCGTTTTTATCTTTGATGAATTACCTTAAAAGCAACAAGAACCAGATGATTCCTCTACATTTCTGCTGCGGAGGTTTTGCAGCCGCAGACTCCCCGCTGCGTGTTTTCTGTGTGCGCACTTCCCGCTGCGGGTCTTTTATCTGCGGGCGGCTGCAGCATCACGGCCCGTCAGCGGCTCCGGCGCAGCGGGGGGGTGGGGGGCCTCGGCGCTCCGCTTCTCCTCCCACCTCCTCCTCCTCATCATCATCATCATTATTATTAGCGGTTGTTGTTGATGAATGTTGCATGTTTATTGTCATAAACCATTTATTTCGAATTGGGGTTTTTAAAAATCGCTTTTGCAGAACAGAATCTGAAAATTCAAAGCAAAACAGAAAAAAATAATTAAAAAAAAAGACATTTAGCCTGAAGATTCATCTCCAAATCCAAAACATTCTGTGGCAGCATGTAATGTTTTATTATTTAAAAGTAACATTTAGATAAATTCAGCCAATCATGAATGGATTTTTACAAATTATTTTCATTATTATCAAGGTGGAATAATGCATTTAAATAAATTCAAATCAATCACGACAAGAGCATTATTATTATTATTATTATTATTATTATTATTATTATTATTATTATTATTATTATTATGACGTATTTTGAGCAAAATAAAATACAGAACTTGAATAAAATCAGATGTTCTTCTTTTATTTCATCACATGTCATATTGCTGGTTTTATTTAGTTTATCAAAGAGAAAACATAAACCTGTATAAACTTGAGACTCTCCAGCCTGCAGGTTCACCAGAGTTCATCCTCTCATCGTTTCTCATCTCGATCCGGACAGAAACATTTAAAATGCTTTTTTTTTAGGTCTCATTTCAAATTAAAAGCTTTGCAGATGATTAAAACAACAAACTGAAAATGTCCTGAACTCTAAACGTCTGGTTTGTTTAATAAATATTTATTCAAGGCAACTTTATTTTTATAGAGCAACTTTCAGCCAAAGGCGATTCAAAGTGTCTCTACAAGAAAATTAAAAACAAGAAGACATTTATAAAAACAAACCTGAGAAGAATTAAGTGTTACAAATAAGGAAGCCGTGAGAGCCAAAAAGGATTTAGTGGTTTTAGTAAATTTGAGACAGAGAGCCTGGCTGCGCTTCCCTGCGGAGCCACAAGGGGGCGAACCAACATGCGGTACCGGGCGGGAACGAAACCAGAACCCGACCCAACTCAAGGATTAATGACGTAGAAACCAAAACATGAAATGTTTTATCATCAAACATTCAGAAAACTGATCAAACTCGCTGCGGAGCATCAATAATAAAACCTGCTGATCACAAAAATCTGATCTGAACGACATTTAATGTTATTTCCTTCTCGCATTTAATTAATATTACTATTATTATTATTACTGTTTGGCTTCATGCTGATCCTCTGAATGTTTCCCTGCAGAATTTATGTTTGTTCTGCTTTGGCGCAGAGATGTGATGTTTGCGGAGCTTCAGCACCGCGGACAGCGGCTCAGAGCGACTCGACGCGTCTGACCTCAGAAAAAACATTTCACTTCAGATTTCACCAAAAAAACTCATAAAACGAACATGAACCCGTTTAACATTAAACTGCATTAATATAGAGATATATCCCGCCTTAAAAAATGGTCATAAGAATTATTTTTTAAATATATTTTACTATAAGAAATAAACAAATGTGTCTTTTTGAATAAACATAAGTCAAAATAGATACTCTTCTTAACATTAATTTCTTTAAATTCATTAACATTAAGTCTTTAATTTATTAATCTGATTAAATATATATATATATTTTTTTAAGTTACCATAATTATAATTATAATTTAGTTTTATTTTTTTTAATCCACGGCGGTTCGTGAAAAGGACGAGAAATTTGTCCTTTTGCATATTTCAGTTTTTATCTAAAGACTAAACGACACATTTATTTTTAAATACATTTAATAGAAAATGAAATTCGCTTCGTTCGACGTCACTCCGATGACGTCACAGTGTCCGCAGCTGACCCGAGGCTGGAGACAAACCAGTGGAAATATTTAACATTTATTCTGAATCTTTATAAGAGAAAACTGTCATTGTCCCGTTTATTGTTTTATTTCTAATATCTCAACATAAATATTATTTATTTCAGCCGCTCAAGTCAAAATGTGGATCAACAGCCATCCGCATGTAGAAAACAAGAAAACGTATTTTTAATGCAGAAATGTTCTGCTATGGCCTCCATCATCACAGTGAAGACAGCTGACTTAGTTGGCATGCTGCACAAGGAAAGTTTAGTGGAAGGAGAATCTGTGAAGAAAACAGATTAAAGGGTTTGGGAATCAGAGTCAATTTTGGGTTGATGTTCAGTTTGACGTTTCCATATTTAGGAAGAAACATAGACATAAATGTTTGCGTGTTTAACCTGTTAAATTAAGGACTTTCCTTTTTTCAGTCGGCAATCAATGTTAAAATATTTGTTTTCATTCTTTTTGGTTAAAATGTATTGAGTTAAATGCTGTGAGCAAAACTAAAGAACCAATCAAAACATTTCACTTCATATTTCCTGATTTCTTGAAATATATAAAATTTAGAGTCATATACTTAAAATATATATGACTTAAAAAAACAACTTCCTTAACTTTAATCATTTTTTTTTTAAACTTGTAGCATTGGCGACCTCATGGGGTGGTCAGCAGGGGGCCATGGCTCGCTCGCACGGACGGCCAAAGGGGAAACGTTTTCCCATCAAAACACACAATGATAAAAATCTAAATAACACAAACAATAAAAATTAAAACAAAATAATTATTTCTATATTTTTGGTTTATTTTTTTGTTCATTTCATTATCTTAAAATAAAATTTCTCTTTTATTGCAGTTGCATAATCTTGCCATTATTCCATTCATTCATTTATTTATGCAGTTCATGTCTACCTGTTTAAGTTATTTACACTCCTGACAGTTTCTGCTCATTAAATGAGTCAAACACAGTAATAATATTCATCCATCTTCTAGTAGATAAAAAATATTAATTAGATCAATTCCACACTGACTGGTTTTTTCAGTCTATGTAAAGTTTTCAAAGAGGATTCACCAATAATATAATAATAATATGGAAGGTAAAGTCATTTTCAGCACATTTTCAGCAACAAAGCAATTCAAAGTATTTTATACAAATTAAAAGGAAAACAGAAAGAAATCATATAAATAAATAAGCCATTGCGCCCCCTTTTGGTGGCGCCCATTTTCTGGAGGTCCCAAATCCTGGCATTACCATCTATAATTAGTTATTGCTGCAGTTCCACTCCCGCACTAATCGCCAGGTGAACTCTGCGTGACCCTTGAAAATCCGCTCATTTGCTGGAGTTGGGCGGCAGAGCGGTTGGGTCATTCTGTCCGGGTTGGCAGCGCGGTGACCTCCAGCTGCAGCGGACACCGTGACCCCGCCGGGTTCCCTCTCTCCCTCAGACACGCAGCCGCTCATCGCGTGTGAGCGGCTCATCGCGTGTGAGCGGCCTGCAGGAAGGCGTGTTGCAACTGACAGTTTGCACTCACGCTATGAATAAAAAAAGAAACGGCGCAGAGTTGGATTGCAGAAATTCCAGCCTGATGTGATTTCATCATTTCGCTCTTACACTGCGTGTTTTTACTATGAGGAAGTGACGTCATCTGCAGACATCAGGCTGATTTATGAATGTTATTAGCGGAAAGTTTCACAAGGCGACATTATTTTGGTAAAACCTGAGGTAATAATCTGCGGTTGCAAGGCCGTCACGCACACCACTGCCGCTAAAAAACCCGCAAAACCCGCTTGAACCGCAAACTTACTGTGCTAATTTATCAAAAGGAGTCAAATTAAGTTTATTAAGTTAATTAAATTGTCAAAATAACATTAATAAACTTTAATTAAGTTGGATCTCCTGTACTCTTTGTTTTCTCCCCTCTTGGAAAGATGAATAATCTTAAAATGAATGAATATTTTATTGCAGTTGAATAATCTAGTAATCATCTAAGTTCTGTTTGTGTCTGCTCCTCTTTGTAGCAGGAAGTTATTTACACTTCTGACAGTTTCCGTTCATTAAATCAGTCATAAATAATAAAATACGACATATAGATAGATGTTTTCAAGCCTTTATTTCTGTAAATTAAGTTGATTTATCTGCTTACAACCAATGAAAACACAACATTGAATATTAGAATACTACATTTAACCATAAAAAGTTTAATAAGTGAGGTCATAATGTTTAATATCTGCTTAAAGGTTGTTTTTTAATGCGACTATGACTGTAAAGCCTATGTTATCAACTCAAAATATGTTATTAGCTTTTATGGCTAACTGTATTTAGCCTGGCAGCGATTAATACGGGGCTGAAAAATGGCTTATTTGTTGTTAATCGATCATTTAAATAATCCCCAGTTTAGTAATAAACTAATCGTTATCTGAAGTCAACAGGCTAAAACAAAAAGACGATTTGCTGAAACAACAACATCATCGGAGCAAAATTAATCTAAAACCAAACAAAACAAACGTTTTGCATTCAAGATGAAAGAAATAAGTATGTTCTCCGTAACAACCAAGCCCAGTCCATCACCTAGCAACGCAAGCATCATGTTACCTAGCAACTGTAACATGCTCTGTATAATGGCTGCTGGAAAAGACAAGTGTTTTGCTGTTGACTTACCCTGAAACCACTTCCTGTATTCTTGATTGTGTATAAGGCTCTACTTCTGCTTTTCAAAGATGTTCAGTTGCACAGTAACCCATCTGTTTGCAGCCATTTTCACGTGAGTGTAAACGCTGAGCTGGGCGTGGCAGGAAGCAGCCCATGTGGATTAAAGGGAGGCCTAAAGACCACTCAAAAAATAAAAGTAAAAAAAATAATGATTGGAGCAGTTTTGTGGATAAAATGTAATGAAAATGTTTTGTAATAAAAATCGGCCACAGACCGATTTTAACCTGCTCAAAGAGGCATCATAGTTCAAGCAGTTTTAAACGTTTTCAAGGTACATTTTCAAACTTTTCCAGCATCAAATTATCAAACAAACAATACAAAAGACAGTTTCAACTCACTTTTATATAATTTATTACTGTTATT